GAATTTCGAGGGTACTTTTTCAGAATCGAGGATACTATTTCAGAAGGTAGGGCACTATTTCAGACGAGAGGGCACTTTTTCAAAAATGAGGGCACACAGCCAACCCACCCCTTATACACTGGTTGGAAATATCAACAGATTCGACCTTTCTCAAACATTTCCGATTACTTTTGTTTCTTGCATTTATGATGGTGGGTAGGCAGCCCCGCTCAGCACGCCTCTGGCTACAGTCAACTCTTATTTTGAATTGAAACTGTCACAAGTTCTTATTCATACACGCAACGTGTACACGTGCCCTTGGTTTTATTGATTTAGAGACTTAGCTCTTTTAAACCTTGTCGTTTCGGAAAGCGTGTAATTAATACTATCCATATATATATATATATATATATCAAGTCTGGTAATAATTGTACCATCGACCTTATTATAAGTGTCATTGCCTATAAAATAATATTTATCAATTGTCTAAGCTCTGTCTAAGATTTGATAAAATCGTCTACAATTCGATAGATAAAGATTAAATAAAGTACAAAGTTTGATAACTATTTATGTTGGGTCATATTATTGCCTTTTGGGCTCTTGACCTAGTAGCCTAATAGGTCAATATCCTATATCTATATACTTCCTAGGTGTAATTTCAATAACGCAAGAACAAATCTCATCTTAGGTCAGGAACTCAACCAGAATTATTTAATTGTCTCTGGCTGACATTGGCGAATTTTTCTACCAATTAAAAATTGTTTGCTGTGCACCAGTTTAGGATAAGGAGAGAGAGAGGGTGGGGGATGTGTGGGTGGGGGAGTGTTAAGTCAATTTGATTAGAACACATATCCTATTTCGTTTCAAATCTGGAAGATTTGTTACATAACTTGGGTTCTGGATGGTGTGAGGGATTAGCCAATGACACCACCTGTTACGTACGGCGACTTCTTGGCATACCATGCACGAAACTGTGGGTAAACCACTAGAAACGTCAACTCTGATTGATTAATCAATGTCTGACATCATAGGGGCAATCGCCGCTCGTACGACCCCTGACGTGACCTCCTACTACAACTGGTCAGATCTTCGTGTGGTTAGAGCTAAATGACAAGGCCAGCTCAGTTTTTCGTCATAGGTCACGAGATGTAATCGAGGGTTAGCGTTAATCCGAACCTGAAACCTAACCCTGGACTTAGCCCCAATGCTTACCCTAACCCTACAATGTGGCCAACAATCATATGTCCTAACCTTACTGACCCTAACATGGTACCTAACCCCAATGCTTACCCTAACCCTACAATGTGGCCAACAATCATATGTCCTAACCTTATTTACATCTCGGAGCCACGGTGGCTAGGTGGTTAAGACAAAAATGAAATGAAATGGAGTTTAACGTCCTACTGTTCTGCTCCTAACCTGGGCTAATGAAGACTGGCAAACGCCATACAGTGTGCTATGAGGGAAATTTTGCCCGGACAGCGGCACTACGGCCTACTCTTATATCGAATTCCAACTGCCAAGGGATCTTTTACGTGCACGCCAATGTGTACACGGGACCTCGGTTTTTCGTCCCATCCGAACGACTAGACAGCTTTCCTTGTCAGCCCCTCCGTCCTGCATCACTGACAAGAGAGAATCACACCGGAAAATCTGGGTGAACTTTCTCGGCCAATGCAGGGATCGAACACCCGACCTCCAGGCTAGCGAGCTAGCGTCTTATCCACTTAGCCACGTGATCCCCCAGGTGGTTAAGACACTGGCTCGCTAGCCTGGAGGTCGGGTGTTCGATCCCTGCATTGGCCGAGAAAGTTCACCCAGATTTTTCGACGTGGTTCCCCTTGTCAGTGGTGCAGAACCAAGGGCCTGACAAGGACAGCTGTCTAGTCCTTCGGATGAGACGAAAAACTGAGGTCCCGTGTATATATTGGACTGCACGTAAAAGATCCCCTGGCAGTTGGATTTCGATATAAGAATAGGCGATAGTGCCGCTGCCCGGGCAAAATTTCCCTCATAGCACACTGTATGGCATATGCCCGTCTTCAGAACAGTAGGACGTTAAACCCCATTTCATTTCATTTATGTACATCTCAATGACCTTGACAAATAGATTCAGCCATCATCTTGTAGTGCAGGCCATCGAAAGTATAAAAAAACGGAAAAAAATATAGATCTGTATTTAATCAGATTTGTGTTAAGTAAAACAATAGTAGGATACTCCTTGTGTCACTTTTGAGTTTGCCAACCAAACAGCATACAAATGTGTCCCTCCCCATAATAAAATCTTTATTTAAATTAGTAGTTGTGAAATGCAATTCACGCTCTCCATATGAAAAGAACCTAGCACACTTTGGGGTGGGGTGTTTTCTTTCCAAGGTAAGAAGACACCCAGGTTTGAGAGATGAGGTTTCTTACCTACTCAACCCTTGACAAGCACTTGAATAAATTATTCAAAATAATCCAAGGGGAATTACTCCATATAAACGCTTTAATTCTGAAACTGAAAATGACAGGGATTTGACGTCCCACTACTGATCTGCTCTGACTGCTCTAATTAAGAAGGGCATACGCCATACAGTGTGCTGTGGGAGGAATTGTGCCCGAACAGCGGTGCTATGCCCTACTCTTATTTAGAATTCCAATGTACATTTCAATAAGTACACAGGAATTCAACAAAAACATTCGGTCTACAATAAGATGAAATTATAGGGGGGTTGGATGGCCGTATGGTTAGCACGTGCATGCTGTATCATAAGGCCTGTCATTGAGTCAACTGGCGTGGTTTTGAATCCCCGGTTGTACATGACAAGGAGTAGGCTAGCCTGTCCATCCTCGTGGGTTATCTCCGGGTCCTCCTGTTTCCCCCTACTGCTAAAGACCCCTATGCGCAAGCGAATTATTGAAATAAAATTGAACCATGGGTTACTCCCAAAATGACCTAGTTTGTGTCGTGTGGACTTTAAACCCCATTTCTCTCTCTTTCTCTCTCTCTCTCTGAAATTATACATAAAACACTACTTTTCTTAAATAATCAACTGGTTTATCAGTGCATACACAGGGTTTCCATTAAATCAAATAACAACTGTATTCAAAATTTATTTTATTATACATTTAAGCCATCCATAAACAAAAAACAATTCTTCAATTTAAAAAAAAAAAAATAGATAGGAATGAAAATACTACCACTTGGGTTAAAAAATAAAGAGATTGAAAAGTTCTTTTATAGTCATAGAACCAATTTGGGGCCTGTTTCACCAAATCTTAACTAAGATAAAACCCAAATTTTAGTAATTTGATTGGATTATATTAGACTGATTTTAGTGCTTAGCCAACCAAATTGAATTATTTACTAAAATTTGGATTTTATCTGTAGTTAAGATTTCGAGAATCAGGACCCTGTTCGTTTATAAACAGCTTCAACTCTCTGAATGGGTTCATCCCATCTTACTAAATATACACCCTAATAATCACAGAAATTTCTTCCAGATAAACAAATCCATGACATATTATCACAATATTTTCATAATATAGTCTGAAAACTCAATTAATACTACAGTCAAATTAACAAAGAAGCATTCAATTTTATTGGAACACAACCATTTTAAAAAGGTTATCAGCAACTTAAAATGACTTTTTGAAAAGATGCATTTAATATATATTATAACAAGTGTTTGCCATGCAAGATACGCCCACATTTTGCAAGAGATGAACAGAAAACAAGCTAAATGTGGGCGTATAAAAAATCTTTAGTATCTGAATGTCAATTGAGGAATTGTTAATCCCTTAGAAACTAAAATATTCTGAAAATTGAATCTCTATAAAGGATATCAATCTATTCAATTTCATTCAGTATTGACAAAGATATGGTGAATTAAAACTTTGACATCCACTGCAAACTACATCAATATAAGAAAGAGAGAGAAATGGGGTTTAACGTCCACTTGACACAAACTAGGTCATTTTGGGACTAACATATGGTTTAATTTTGTTTCAATAATTAACTTGCGCGTAGGGGTCTTTAGCAGTGGGAGGAAACTGGAGGACCCGGAGAAAACACACAAGGTTGGACAGACGACCCTACTCCTTGTCACGTACAACCGGGGATTCAAAACCACGCCAGTTGACTCAATGACAGGCCTTATGATACAGCACGCACGTGCTAACCATTCGACCATCCATCCCCACTCAATATAAGAAAAGGTCAACACACGTCACACGCAATGTTGAATCTTTTGATGAGCCTGTTTTTAATCGCACTGAATCCAAGCCTAGAGATTATCCTCTGTTGATATTTCGATTTTGTTTCCTTAAAGATACATAACGTACAATTTAGATAAAGAACTTTCCGTTCTTGCTATAATAGGTCAAAAATAGATAATGCAAAAAAAAATATATTGAAAATTTCATTCATATTACTTTATTCTAAGTTAAGTTATCGCTGTTTGTAGTTTTGACAAAATGTGGGCATTGATTGTGTACTGGTATATTCAAGACTTAAGACTTGTTTCTCCATTTTTAAATTAAATCATTAAACGACCGAACCGTTCTAATCTAGTTCAAATCTTGAGCATCCGATGGCATCGAGAGTTGATTATGGTCTTGTCATCTTAATAAATGTCTAATTAATAATTTATATAACATTTAAGGCCTAAAGAAAAACCTACAATAGTCAAATTTAGCTCTTGAATAATGTATCATTAAGTATAAACCACTTATCCAAAGATTTCAAATAATAAAAGTTTTTTTATAATTCACCAGTAAATAATATTAGATGGAACTTTCCTTTAGTAAAATAAAACGATATACTAGTTATTCTTAAAATAAAAGTTAATATTAAGGACTATCATTGTAAATATATGACCAGTATACTATGATAGGTTAACTAGGCTGCTGCCTTGGAGGACAGGTTTTAGAGGGGTGTACTGAGCATAAACCTCAGAAGGGCGTAGGCCTACTACTGTCCATTAGGAGTCACAGCTTTATACATTAGATTCATCTGTGTACCTGTAAAATAATTTTAAAATGTCCAGGCCAACATCTGTGATTTTCATTTCTTCTACAAAAAGTTTTTTAAACTGAAGTTTACATTTATTTTTCATGTTTTGAAAATTAAGTACGGTACTTTAATGAGGCATTTCTAGTAAAAATATTATTTTTGCCAACTCACTGGACTCCCTGGTAAATAGACCACAAATAGATTTTAGAATTCCTAAGGACAGATGGAATGCATGCCACTCCACTCCACTCCACTATTATGTATCAAACCGAATTAAAGTTAATATTTTACAGCCGTTTGAGTTCTATATTTCATAATGTATTCATCTAATCGTACATTTATCAGCATAACTTGTATTATGTGCATCGCTTCAATAAATTAATAAATCAAAGTAATTTGTTAGATTGAGATCATACATTAGTCACACAATAAAAAATATATTAACATCACAACATACCTCTTATAATACTATAACTTGTTTTCTTTGATCAGAGAAATATTTCACATCTGATTTTGTGAAATTTAATTCAGCAGTACATAGTATCAATTAAATGTAAGTACACTTTGCAATTCCTTATTGAATGTACATCATTCATCCAAATCCTTATTACAATCCTTATTACATTTACATCAAATTAATACAAATCCTTATTACATTTAAATCAAATTACTACAGATCCTTATTATATGTGCATCATTCATCAAAATCCTTAATACATCTAGATCAAATGTACATAATTTATCCAAATCCTTATTACATGTTCATCATTCAGTCAAATAGAGATAATTTTTTTATGTTCCATCTTGAGCTAACAAAAATGTTTGAATATTAAATTGAAATAGTTTTTTAAGTCTATTTAAACTGTATAATGACTGCAAATATTGTATAGTTAAATCAGCATTCGATAACGTCTAACATTAAAAAATATCTATCCTCAGTTAATAGACCCATATCTATTAGGCCTATATCTATCTCAAGTTAATAGACCTATATCTATTTCCAGCTTATAGGCCTTTATCTATTAGCCCTATATTTATCTCCAGCTAATAGGCCTATATCTATCTCCAGCTAATAGACCAATATCTATTTCCAGCTACTAGGTCTATATCTATTTCCAGCTAATAGGTCTATATCTATTTCAAGCTAATAGGCCTATATATATATATCTCCAGCTAATTACATGTAATAGGCCTATATCTATCTCCAGCTAATTACATGTAATAGGCCTAACATTCATAAGGCATATCCTGTTTTAATATAATAAACAAGTGCTGTTCTTGTTATAGATATCATATATAAACCATGTCGTTATTTACATAGTCTGTGGTGTTCTTTGGCCAAACAAAGATCTAGTGAAAAAGAGGTAATGATGGTCTTTAATTAAAATATATAAATCATATATTTACAAACCTATAGATTATCTCATACACGTTAAGTCGCAATCAGATTAAAACACAGATCCTATTTCGTTTCACTTTTTTATAGTTCAAAATTTAGTTTTACTTGTCTTACTACATTAGGATCTGGAACAGTTGTTATATAATCTGCATTCTGGATGAGGTGAGGGATTAGCCAATGAAATGGTCTCTTACGGCATGAGGTACACGGAACTGTGGGTAACCCACTAGAACCATCAACGCAGATTGGTTAATCAAATGTTAATGAAATAGCTGCTTCTATGACCTCTGATGCGACCTTCCATTACAACTGGTCACATGTAGTAGAGGTGATCGCAAGTATAAAAAAAAAAATGAAGCGAAATATAGATCTGTATTTGAATGTAAGTCAAAGAGAATAGAATTTTGACTAGCTAATATGTACTGATTATAAAATGTAATGTCTTCACTGGATAAACATTTAGACATGGAGTTTTATATCAATTATTCGCTTGCACTTTCAGGGTCTTTAGCAGTGATATGACACCAGAGAATCCGGAGAAAACATACTCCTTGTCACGCACAAGCTCGTGATTGATACCATGTCACTTGAGTCAATCAATCACATACCTTATGATCTAAAGTGCATGTGTTTAACCACCCAATCGCCCTTCCCTTCACCCTTTGGATGGATATATACAAATAAACAAATTTCTACCTTAGTTCGTTTATTTACTTTTTTGACATACTTGGATAAAATTTATTATTTTTTTTTTAAACTCTGACCATTCATGTAATGCCAAAATTGACATTCTTTGTGATTTGTTTTAGGTAAAACACACCACACCTACATGTATAGATATTCACAATAGTAATAGATTTATATATTTTGAAAATTTGGCAATTCTGAAATAAGCAAGAACTCTCCTTTTATATGTATGTAAAATTATATTTAACATATAACTGATTTAAAATGTGAAATACCAATAACATTTTACTTATATTAAGAAACGAAATAACGGAACTGGTAAGTAAGCAAGCAAGGCATTTTGAATGCAATAGAATGGGGTTTAATTGTTAAACTTTAATTTCTCGTCCATACAACACTTTGGTCATCTTGAGACTATCATTAAATAAATTCATTTCTATGGTTACGTGTGCAATGCAAGAAGGCCCGGAGAGTGTTATTTCCTCCTATACTCTTGAGTCTTTTTCAAATTTCAACTGCCAAGGGACCTCAGTTATTTCAAACAAGGGACATACTAGTCCAAGAGGCTGGTGCTGTACCGCTCGACTACTGTGTAAAGTCATCACTATACATAAAAGTATAACAAGGGCAAGGTATGGACAAAGGAGATTTATAATGTGGATATGGCATTTGGTCTATAAATACGGCCATTTTTTAGAATATAAATATCTATAATCCAAGTTTAAATTTATAGTTTACTATGGGGGTAGAGTTGACAATGGCAATGTAAGCATTATGATCTCACAAAAACGCTTGACATACAAAACCATTACATTATTCACAACATTTAAAGTTTCTCATATAGTGGAGAAAGAGCGAAATGTGATTTAACGTTCCACTCAACAACATCCAGAATATACAGGTCACAATTCTATGGAATACAATTACTGCTTATTACTGAGCGACATTTTTGACTAGGCTTCTTCTCCAATAAGTCATTATCAAGCCTAGTCGAAAAACATCGCTCAGTAATAAGCAGTAATTGTATTCCATAAAATTGTGACCTGTATACTCCAGTTCAATTACTAAATGCCATTGAAACAATTTAACATCCAGAATCTAGTATGCTTGTTTAGCCAAACAGATTATTACCGAGAAGAAATCAGCCAAATAATTCTTGATATGCACTCTCAGCACACCTTGACCTTATCAAATTGTAAACAAAAAGTTAACAAAGAAACGCCGACAAAATTTCTACACGTACGGTACATTTGTTTTTGTGTTCATTATAAGTACACATACGTTACACAACAAAGCACATTCACTTGAAAACAGTCTGGAAATCCACATCTAAAAATTTATTTTTAGTAACAATCAAGGCGGGGGAAGGGGGAGTGCACAGGAAATTATTCAATGAGCCAATAAAATTAAATTGCTGGAAAACACAGAATCATACTTAAAATATATTTGTCTCCATTTATACTCCTTGATTCGACAGTTTCGTATCACAAAGTTAAAATATCAACATTTCTGCTTGAACTGTTTTCATCGATCAGATGAAGACAGGGATGAAAGACAAGTTTTGGATGCCACAGATATCTGAAAATAGATAAAACAATGAATAATTAAACATACATTATGCAAGAGATAAATCTGCCTATAGCAGGTCTTTCTTTAGGCCTGAAATGTTTTCTAAATTATTAATTAGACATTAATTAACTTATCCAAGCCATAATCAACTCTCGGTGGCGTCAGATTTCTCTGATATTAAATAGATTAGAACAGTTCAGCCATATTTTGATTTAAGCTAAAAATGGAGGAGCGAGACTTAACTTCAAAACAACTAATACAGTTGTTGAAATTGTCAAACCTTCAAAGGCTAATATCTTCGCTCGCAATAGAGTAATTTGAATGAAATTTTCAAATTATTCATTTTTCATTATCTTATTTCGAACTATTATAGCAAGAATGGCTAGCTCTTTATCTAAATCTTACATAATGTATCTTTAAATGACTATTCAGTTTGAATTGATAAAAAAATATTCTATGTACGTGTAGGCGGTGTAGACTATATGTTCCAACCATATGCATTTCTACAGATTACACAACGTTTTATTCATTCATCATTTATTACCCGAAACCTCATTATTATCGAGTCCAAACAATCGTTAAGAAAATCTGAAAAGTTGTCAGACTGAGTCGAAACAGGCATTTGTGTCGACTGTCGAGTCTGAAAAGTCGTGCTACCTACATGTTTCGACAGTGGCGCTGCCTGCTATCCACCTACATGTAACTGATATCCTTTTCATTGTAGGCTAGCCATTTCCAATCTACCATGAGCTAATTTTCATCCTTTCTTCTAGGTTTTTTCGTATCATCCAAATGACTAGACCGTCATTTTCCTAGGGATCTTTAGCAGTGGGAGGAAACCGGAGGACCCGAAGAAAACCCATTAGGCTGGACAGGTGACCCTACTCCATGTCACGTACAACCGGGGATTCGAAACCACGCCAGTTGACTCAATGACAGGACTTATGATAGCAGGCACGTGCTCACCATTCGGCCATCCAACCCCCTCCATGCTAGGTCCCGAAGCCCACCCCCTTGCACAACTGACAAGGAAGAAACCTGACTGGGAAATCATATCAGGTATAGGTAGTTCAGCTCTGAACGTAGGCCTCATTACACTCAGCCTGTGCATTACCCTTTCAATGAAGTCCGCCAAGTCGGTTAGAAAACGGAGACGTATTTTTTAACAGCGTGTTGTGTCGCTTATACTGGTTCTAGCGAGGTAGCAAGGTCTTATTTTCTCACTAAGGTGTTCATTTATATTGTTCAGACGTTCACAGGGACTGACACGCGACCGTTTAGCAGTAAAAAGTTGCCCAGTAAGATTGACTGGGGCGGATCTCAGTTTCGACAAGGATTCAATGGGAGAGTTCCTGAACGTACAGGCCAAGTGTAATGAGGCCTACATTCAGAGCTGAACTAAATATCAGGGAACTGCCTCGGCCAACACTGAGATCAAACCAGGAACTTTCTGGTTAGTGAGCTAACGACCGACCAAGGTACCCATTGTAGGCAGGAATACAGATCAGGTAAACGTTCACGCAGTGGACGCCACTTTACTTTATTTACTATTTTGCCTTACTCAGTGGATATTTAACCGTATACCGACGGCACTTTACTTTATTTACTATTTTGCCGTACGCTTCCGTTTAACATGCGCAGTTCTCTGATACCTGGACTTAGCAGTTTTCGCTTTGGCAATGATGCCGGCGAAATAGCCGTCTGACATTAACCCATAACCCAAACCCAAAACCTAACCCAACAGTTCTATTCGTTCTTTGTCTAACATTGCTTCTTTTTCCGTTTCTTATAAAGGAACGAAATAGCCATACTTGAATTTCTATGGTAGAAACTGGAGAATTATTTTTAAAAGAAAATAAGATAATAAATGTAAATTGTAGAAAAGCATTTAGAATATTATTCTATTTTGGTTGAGGGCGCATTTCTGCGGATTTTGGTTTTTAATTTAAGTACCGGTACTAAGACTGTCAGTAGTTTATGTTTTTCCCCGTAAAATCGTGCTTCTGCGCCGAACTTGAAAGACGAGTTGCCATAATGGTGGAATATATCTGTACTTTCTGCCATTTTGAATCAGAAACGATGTACGGTAAAATAGCAGAAGTAGATACTTTGCCGTATACGGTTAAATATCCACTTCGAAACTTTTATCTAAATTTACTTACATTTTTCGGGCTTTATTTTTGACATCACTGGCCCAGTGGCACCATTTAAGCTAGAGAGAAATATGTATGATCACTTCGTGATACAGCTTTATCACGTTTAATACCATGTTGTTGTACATGTATCACATTACTGCTCGATTTACTTTTACTTCTGCTTGGGTTTGACACATTCAGGCCTAGCATTTGTTCACGCATAGACTCGTCAAACGTAAAGTATGAATGATCACTTTTACGTGACCAAATGGGAATGTTATCTGTCATTATCACATCATTATTGGGATAACTTGACGAGGTACTGATGTTCAGTTTATTATAAATGTGGTCACTGTAACTTCGATTCTGTTTTGCGGTTAAGTACTCTGGGGAGCTTTTTATTGGTCCACCAGCATTTGTATCGCATACATTTATCATTTCCACATCTGAATCACGATTCGCAACAGCATAGGTATGATCTTTTCGCGGTAAATGGGGAGAGGCAAGATCCCCAGCAATTTTCAGGTGTTTTACCATAGGCCCCTGCGGGTTGGTAGTGTGTGTAGTCTGTTCAAGGGAAGGGGGGATAAGCATTGTTTTACTGTTCTCTCGCACTCGATAACCTTTCAAATGATCCGATCCACTCTGTTTTAATATTTCCTCATACGATTGACTTTTCTTGCTAGGTGTCGTCCAATATTTTCCTGTTGTAACATTTATTTCCTTATTATCAAAATTTCTTGACACATTTTCCTCACTTGAGCTTCTTCTAGGCCCCACTGCATTTATATGCTTTGGCACAGATTTGCTCAGGGCTGATTTCGAACGACCACTGAAGGCATACGTGTGATCCTTTTCTTTCTGGACTAAACATTCTTCATCTAATATACCCGTCGACGATTTCTTTTCAACAGCATAACTGTGATCTCTGTCGTTATTAGAACAATTTAAAGCCAAATCGGCCAGCGTTACAAGCGAGTTCAACTGGCTGAGCTGGCTGAGCTGGCTTCCTGAGCTGTCGTCTGATAAATTCTGGCCTGCAGACATCTTCTTTAAGAACAATATAAGCCTCCAGCAAAGGAATCGATCTTACAGAAACCGCATTCTACGATAATTTTGCGAAACAACAACCGAAAACAACAGATGTCATCAAATTGCTTCCTGAACCCAATGTGGTCCATTAATAGAATTCGTCATCGTCACGTCTACTGCAAGGGAGATAACTCTTAATTATTACCCTTCAAATGGAGGCAGACCACCATTAATATCCCCATTGACTTCAATGTTAATTCTGGCCTCTTTGCCCACCTCCAATTTTTCACCAAATTTTCTAGACAGAGGAACAAATGGTAATGTCTTTGCACTAAAATTTTTATGAGGTTGACCACCAAAATTTTGAGATACACAAACTTGAAGAAGCATACTAAAAACATGTAACATCCGGTTTAAGTAAACTGGATGACCAGAATTTTGTACAAGAATATTTACACATATTTGATATAGTAGGTCTAATAGAAACATGGACTAATAAGGATAGTAAGCTATATTTTAAAAATTATCAATATATCCATCACTTCAGGAAGAAAAATAGACGCGGAGGTTTAGTGGTTTACTTTAAAAATTGCCTAAGTAAAGGCATAGAGCATTTTAGATCAGGTAGTGAGGATATAATTTGGATTAAACTAAAAAGAGAATCCTTTAAATTAAAAAAATGACATATTTGTTTCTTTTGTTTACTGTTTACCTATCACATCTTCATTATATGAAGAAGGTAGCAAACATGATACTATTGAAACACTGAAATCTGAAATTACCAAGTTTAGTTTAAATGGTGATATTATAATTAGTGGTGATTTTAATTCAAGAACAGGAGAGTGTGCGGATTATGTTATGAATGACAGTTTAGCACCACATCTACCAATGTATGATGGTTATACTGTTGACAACGGTAGACGTAGGTATATAAAGATACCCAGGGTAGAAAATTACTTGGCATTTGCAAACAGGCTTCTATACGTATTTTAAATGGAAGAACTTGTGGGGATTCCTCAGGAGAATTTACTTCTTACTATTATAATGGCAGATCAGTTGTGGATTATACCTTTGTGTCAGAAACTTTATTACATTTAATTTCAGCTTTTAGAGTTTGTAATTTGACTTCATACTCGGATCATTGCCAAACTTGGTTTATACTTGATATAAAAATATCCACAGCTCAAATAAAAGGTGATCTCAATAGGAAGGCTTTCAATCCAGTTAAGTTCATCTGGAGCAATAATGTTAAGGACCAGATCCAACGAAATTTTGAAAAGTTTAGTGTTTGTAACGTTCCAGAAAGTTTAAGTGATACTGATAGTCTTGAAATGAAGATTAATGAATTGGAAACGGACATTAAAGCAACTTGCAGCCATTCTTTGAAACCTAGGCTTGTTAAAAAGGGGAAAAGAATGACGAAACTATGGTTCCAATTCTCCTGTCTACAAATGAAAAGACGTCTTAGTCAATTTTGTCCTATTTTTCAAAAAAAATCATAACGATCCAGTTATACGTCAAACTTACTACAGACTGAAGCGGACCTACACAAAAATGCTTAAGGAAGAGAAGCATACTTATAAACAGAAATTGATCAGTAAAATCGAAGAATTAAATGAATCGAACCCAAAACAATTCTGGAATATTATTTCTAAACTTGAAGAGCTATCTAAAAGCAAAAATGATGAAAGTTCATTATTTGATACCTTTAAATCTCACTTTGAAACACTACTGGTGATAATACTTTTGATTCCAATTTTATGGATAAAATCTAAAAGACCTCGCAGGATTTTGAAAGTACAAGCATGAACAATGAAGAGTTAAATTTTCCTTTATCTCTTCTAGAGATTCACACCCATATTTCAAAATTGAAAGTGGCAAAAGTGGAGGCCTGGTGGAGGCCTGGACGGAATAAGTAATGATATTTTAAAAGCTTTAAAATTCCAAATTTCACCGCACTTAATGTACTTATTCAATAATTGTTTACAACTTGGTTACTTTCCCCAGAGATGGGTTGATGGTTTCATTGTCCCAATACCTAAAGTAAAGTCGCCACTTTCAGTAAATGATTTCAGAGGCCTGACAATAACTAGTTGTATAGGTAAATTACTTATAAGTATTTTGACAAGTAGATTGAAAAAATATTTTCAATCGCAGGCAACGCCGTCCGAATTTCAATGCGGTTTCCGAAAGAATTACAAAACATCAGATAACATAATTATTCTTAGGTTTCTTGTTGATAAATGTTTTAAGCAAAATAAATATTCCGAATTTCAATGCGGTTTCCGAAAGAATTACAAAACATCAGACAACCTAATTATTCTTAGGTTTCTTGTTGATAAATGTTTTAAGCAAAATAAATATTTGTATGCATGTTTTATAGACTTTAATAAAGCATTTGATCGCGTATGGAGAGATTGTTTGTTTTACAAACTACAGTGTTTAGGTGTCACCGGACCGCCATACAATTGCCTGAAAAGCATGTTTTCTAATAGTAACCTTCAGGTCAAACTTTTGGAAATTTTGTCAGTGATGAATTTAAAAATGATGTTGGGGTCATGCAAGGAAATAACTTACTATTAAGTCCACTACTATTTAATATATTTATAGATAAACTACCTGAACTTCTGATGCAATCTACGGACCTACCAAGTCTAGGTGATAAACCCATACCAGCTCTTTTGTATGCGGATGATATTATTATATTCTCTTTAACACCAAATGGACTCCAATCGTCCCTTGATATTGTTGGCTCATATTGTAATCAATGAAGATTAAAGATTAATATTAAGTAAACACAAATTATGTTTTTTTAATAAATCTGGCAAGACATGTTTCCAGAAATTTTATATAAACAATGCTGAACTGGAAAATGTTAGTGAATACAAATATCTAGGTATCACAGTTCAGTCATCAGTTCTCTTAGTAAAGGCGTTGAGTATTTAATGGATAAATCATTGAAGACATACTTTAAGATTATAAAAGCTTTTTCTCATATAAATGTTTCACCTCATATATTATTTAAACTGTTTGACTCATTAGTCAAACCTATTACCTTGTATGCATGTGATGCTTGGGGTGATTATATTACCACAAACATTAATAACACCTTAAAAATTGAAAAGCTACATTTAAATTTGTGTAAGAGTATTTTGAAAATTCACAAAAAGGCTATTAACTCAGTTGTTCTTGCTGAACGAGGCAGATTTCCTCTATTTCTAGATGTGGAATATAGAATGGTTAAGCCATGGATAGAATCTGAAGTTAAATGTTATAATTCATTAATGTCGCTAGCTATCACTGAGATGAAGACTTCTAATAGTAAATGGCTTAATCAAATACAAGTTATATTAGAGGAAACTTGAATGGGCGAAATATTTACTGCCGCAAAAAATGAAAATTTTAATACAGAATTCTTTTTACACGTATTTAAAACCCGATTACATGATATATCCAGTCCTGGAAACACACTGACCAGAGTAGGACTATCCAGCATCTAAATGGACATATGAAATCAAATTCAAAACATGATTTTTATTATAATATTAAGAACTCTTATAAGCACTGAAAAAAGATGAAAGGGATGCACTCAGTAAATTTAGACTTAGTGCACATAAACTGGAAGTTGAAAAGGGAAGATACAGTAAACCCTTTATTCCTCGTAATGAGAGATTGTGTAAAAACTGCAACCTTCAATTAGTAAAAGATGAAAAACATTTCTTATTGTATTGTCCATTTTATGATAATTTGAGACAACAATATCTTTCACCATTCATCAAACCTCATATAACCGATTCAATTCAACTAAATATATTAATGAATAATGAAGAGTGTATAGAAAATGTTGGAAGTTTTGTATGGAATGCTTTTGTGAAAAGAGGAATATAAATATAGCTTTGTTAATTGATATGTAGCATTAAAATATTGACGATTAGAATAATATGTACCACTCGTCTTGAAAATTAATGTTATTTTGTAAGATATGTAGTTAGATATTGTTATACATCACAATGTGAAATGTTTGTTACACCTACAGCCCCTTCATCAGGTCTGTGGAGAGATCAAAATAGTTATTCGTTATGAAATTAACAGATTTAAAACAGCATCTTAAAAAGTTACGGAAAATGATTGAAAACGTATAAGTATCTAGCAGACCGTTGTCGTTAGACTTTTCAATTGCTGTCAAATATTGCCATTAGTTATAAAATGTTATTTTCTTAATCCAAAATGGTGGCGTTCTTCTTGCCAAAGAAGTTTCACCTATTCATTATTATGCTATGGTTATGGTACGGACCATGGTTATTTTTCTTTCAATGCCAGTCTTTAAGGTGTTTCATAGTGAAAATGTTTATCAACTATTTACATAAATATTACACGTTTGGGTACCTTAATGCAATTATAATAATTTTCTAATATGTTATTCAATGATTTATGTGCAAACAAAACAATGAATATATCAGTTATCTTTGAATTTAAAGAATTAAAAGTGTTATGATTTGTAGTCTTGGACACCAAAAACGGGTTGGTGTCTACGCCTAGGTTTGAAGGTTAAAGCAATCCTTTGCAACCACCCGCTAGATGAAAAACGCATGACATCATTGTGAAATCCAAGGTGGTCGCCACCAAACTATATTAACTATAACAATGAGCATCCCAGAACGTTGATTATAATGTCTATACAAAGGGTGAAATTGGAAATGGCATTCAAGATGGCCACCATGCAGTACACATGACCATAACGCCCTTACTATTCATGTTAGGGGGGGGGGGGGTTGATGTCTTTATCTAGGAATGAGGGGTCAAACATCCATTAAATCCAACCGCCAGGTGAAAAGCGTGAGATGTCATCGCCAAATAGCCACCGGCCTATAACTCTCACAACAGATGAGCATATTAGAACAGTGATTTTGGTCTCTATACACATTTTATAGGGGCTTAAAATATTTATTAAAACCATTCGCCACGCTGAAAACATAACACGTCATTTTCAAATCTAATATGGCAACCATAATGGTCATTGTCAATTCTAAGTTGGCCACCGTAATGATGATATGATCATTGTCAATTCTAAGATGGCCACCATAATGGCCAATATCACTGTTGCACACGGCCGGATTTTGCCATTAACATAACTTGCAATCTTGAAATATACTTATTTAAGATTTATTAATCTCAGGATTACAAGTTACGTGTAATTATAGACAGCAAATGTAAATATTTTAATTGATGCAATTGTCTTATTCCCTTCCTTAGAAATACAATGCTAGCCAGAAAAATCCCAGTAGAATTTAGGTTAACTGGTCAAAAGAAGATTTTAGATGAATTAAGAACAGACTTGAAAAAGTGGACTAAAAAGCATATATGTACCATCTTTAAATCATATACGCACATAAAGACATTAAATAGGATATAAAAAAATCGAGGAAGGAACACCATGAAGAGCTTCATATGAACAAATATCTAGAGTCCAAATTCTCTGACAAATGCACACCCCGAAGGTCACTCGTTAGTTAATATACATCGTCTCGAAAATAGACAACTTTACCCATCCTTCCCCGGCACACATTTAGGGACGTTTTCGTCTCACCATTGATATTCAACTATGTGCTAATAATACAGATCTTTTTATTAACTGGGTCACAACGCTTGCTCTTGTACAAAGACCAGTTTCTTCATTGTCTTCGGTATTAACTTTGGTATGTCTATCTCCTGGTGTTTTTCCTCATTCAGTTACTCTCTTGCATCATGCAAAGTTATTAAAATGGTACACAAATGCGCCTTTATCAACTTTTTCAAGTCTTTTAATAACCCTATCTTAAGAAACATGTCTGAAATCGTCTTTCAGTCATCATTCGGATTGCCGCCTATTCAACTGTATAAAGTACACTTATCATCGGACGCCTGGAATCAATGCAATAACTACAGAAAGGAGTATAATCATTGTTGGGTGCACAAATATTGTGTTTCCAGTTGTTTACAAAGTGTACTTGGTTTCCATGCAATGGATAGGCTTACATTGAAGATGCAGTGAACTTGATCAACGTCATTGACAAACATACAACACAAGGGCACTTATTATTGGCATAAAACAGATATTTAAGATAATAAAATAGAATTTTATTGGGATTTTTCTGACTTTGATTTTCCCTCTAGATGAAAGATGACCACAATCGAAAGCACACGCTTATGAATATGAGAATAACACTGTTATATTGGGTTGTAGATGATCAAGTTAATCTCTGGATTAAGACAACTCTACCAATTAATGGTAACATTTTCAGCTGCTAATAGCGTCTAATCCTGTTTTTTTTAATAACTTAGTGAATGGCTTTAATGGATAGATTGACCCCTATAAAATATGTATAAATACCAAAATCAACGTTCTAGGATGCTAACTTTGACAGTTTATATAGTTTGGTGGCGACCGTCTTGGATTTCACAATTACGTCATGCGTTTTTAATCTAGCGAGTGGTTGTAAAGGATTGCTTTACCCTTAAAACCTAGGTATAGACACCAAACATGTTACCCTAACACGAATAGTAAGGGCGTTATGGTCATTTATATGGAATTGTTTCCATCTTGGTCGCCATTTTGAATTTCACCTTTCTTTCAAATGATTCTGAGTTACCACCCATGTTTTTTACACCCAAATTGAGGGGAAGTACAAATGAACACAGGACTTCCCTCAACTGATCGAGTGACGCCATAACGCAAAATTGGTTGGATTTGGATAGACATTAAAATCAACGTTCTGGGATGCTCATTGTGATAGTTAATATAGTTTGGTGGCGGCCACCTTGGATTTCACAATGATGTCAAGCGTTTTTCATCTAGCGGGTGGTTACAAAGGATTGTTTTACCCTTCAAACCTAGGTATAGACACCAAACTTGTTCCCCTAACATGAATAGTAAAGACGTTATGGTCACTTATATGGAATGGCGGCCATCTTGGACGCCATTTTGAATTTCACGTCATAGTGACGTCTTAGTGTAAAATTGATGGGATTTTTTAAATCTGTGGTATCGATTTCCTATGGGTAGACACCAGTGAAATCTGTCAGTGCGGTACATACCAGAACTACGGCGCAACGAAATCACCAACACCTCGCGTTATGGAAGGCATGTTTTGGGAATTAGCCATTGCATATACAAGATATCTAAATCTGAATTTAAGGGTTTTTTTCAATGTTGTTGATAGATATATCAGTTGAAATTAGAGATGTGTCGTCTGCAAATAATCTAGACATGCTTATTATACCTTTCATATATGTCATTTGTATAGATAAGAAAAAGTATAGCGGACCAAGTGCAGTAGCTTGTTGGACCCCGGCTTGTCTTTTTAGGGTTTCACACTGCGTAGTTTGTGTGAAACACTATTGTTTTTGTTAAGATTACTATTCTTATTATCATTATTATTATTATTTTTCCATTTTGATTAGATCTCAGCAACTGCTTGTCGCATCGTTACGGTGTGTGACTTAGAGGGTAAAGCTATTTTGAACGTTCTGCAACAATGCGAAATGTCCGAAATCACCGAAGCTATCGTTTTTAAAAGTCTTACAGTAATTTTAACAAGTAATTTTAACTTTCGATACATTTTGGGATAGCCGGAGATAGGGCACTTAGCTATACTACTTTTGATTTTTGGCAAATCTTCGCAGATATTGGGCGCCAAATGTAGAAAATTTAAATTTTTACAAAAAACTTTTATTTATTAATATTTGTTGGTCGTGTTTTACACAGAATTAAAGAGTCATCTGACTTGAGCAAAATGTGAATTTTTTTTGTCTCAGTAATTTTCCTTGGCCGACATTGGCTAATTCAGTTTTTCAATCCTAGATTAAATATTTATTGTTCGATTTGTATAAAACAAAGTTCATATGCTTCGTTGTCTCAATTGTCATTTTTTTTTTGTTACCGATAGAGTTATCTGTCGGCACCGGAAGTACAGTTTTGACAGTTCGGTACCACTTTTCGAAAGTAAATATTATTTTTTTTAAAACTCATATAACTAAAAGAATGTGCCCCCTTCAAAGGCGCAAAAAAATGTGAGCTCATACAGATAACACAAAATGGTTTCTAACTTGTTCAGTTGCGGAGACAGGCGATTTTCAACAGGGCACTTTTCAAGGATTTTGGTCCATAAAAGTGTCAATTATTATTCGATTTTCATAAAATTTTCATTGTGTGATACCTAATGTCATTTACGATTTCATACAAGTAATTTAAAATGTTCATTATAACCGGAAGTGCCGTCATTTTGGCAAAAACTGTATTTTTAGCCTCTAAAACAAATACTTGTTTGAAGTAAGCGATATTCATTATTCGTATAAAATTATTATATTTAATTCCTATGGACAATAGTATTAATCAATTTTTCTAGAATTTTCCCTTGCCGAGAAATAACCAATTTTGACAGGATCAGTTTTTAAGATTTTTCGCATTTTAATTTCAGTTTATGGGTTCTGGGTTAATTATTTATTGCCTGATTTGTGTAAAAGAAAAGCCAATATGCTCCGTGGTGCAAATTCTCAACTTTCTTCTACCGATAAAAATTTCTGTCGGCACTGGAAGTGACGTTATTTTGCCCAAAACTTGAATTTTGACGTGTCTAAAGGTCTTTTAAAAAGCAAATATTTATATTTACAAATCTTATAGATCAAGATGAATGCTCCTACTAATGATGGAAAATATGTCGACACAAATTAGGTCATTTGGGGACCAACATATGGTTCAATTTTATTTCAATAATTCGCTTGCGCGTAGGGGGCTTTAGCAGTGGGAGGAAACCGGAGGACCCACAAGGTTGAACAGGCGACCCTACTTCATGTCACGTACAACCGGGGAATCGAACCACGAAAGTTGACTCAATGACAAGGTGTGTGTAACATCTATATGTACAATTATTGATTCGTATAATAGCATGCAATATACTCCCCACTTGGTCTTGGAAGGGGGTAAATATAACGGGAAATATAACGGTTGAGACCAGTGCCGGACTGGTGGACGGACCTTTGGCCCCCCCTGTCAGGTCATTGACCAAGGCCCGCACAATTACGCGCCAAAGGCATGTCACGAGCGCCCGAGGGGAGTCTTGGGTTGAAATTTTGAAAATTGACAACCGCAAACCCATTTTCTAAGCATTTCAGACCAAAGCAGAAGAAGGCAAATTTTTGATTTCCTGATACAATTAGGTAATCTTTCTCTTTTCGTTTTTCTTTCTCTTTTTTCTTTTTTTTTCTTTTTTCTATATAGGCATAGGCCCACTTTTTTAATGAGCTTAGGCCCACCTGTCACGGACAGGTAAAGATAACAGGTTGCTGGAATAAAAACAGGTGACACGATAAAGTAATAATGCATTAATGCGCAGAGGCGCCCAAACATATTTTCCCAGGGGAGTGCGCCATCAAAAAATCGGCCCACTCAGCATTAAAATATCAATTATTACCCCCAGTTATGTAGAAAAGTAGTTACTAAGTATAGCATTATGTAATTTTTAAATGACTTAGTTGAATATTGATTTGTAGGCTTCATTTTGGTTTGATTGACTGTGTAAAAGACTGCGGCTGGAGGTCATTAAAATAGGATCCATTCATATAAAGGCGTATAGGGGGCCAATCTCAATTGGGGGCTGAATGAACCAATCTTATATGCAATTACATTTTTATGATATATATTCTCATAATTCTCATTCTCCGATATTTTTACCCGAAAGACGGAAATACATTGCCCAAAAAATGGACGGTTCACCGAATATGTTCCCCACCTAGCACCCCCCCCCCCTCCCAGCACCCATGGCTTCTCCGTCTATGCATTCATAGCAGGTATCAGTTTTGAAATTTTCATCGTCGTACGTGAGCGATTAAAAAATTGCCAGTCATACTTGCCTCGTATATTTAACCTTGAACAGAGAGATAAAGATATAAAAGTTAATAATTCTTACATATTCCAAAGAATCGTATTTTATCTATACACACGCACGTGTATGCAGTAGATTAATCATGCTCCGCTGATAATTCCAAACTGCAGTTGGTATAAATAGCGACAACTTTCCACGATCGGTGCATAATTTTAGCTTTTTTAAAAACCATGATACCAACCCTTCTACCAATTGGAATTTTTGTTTTATTGGTTTGGCCAAGTAAGGAAAAACTAAAATAGAATTATTTCAAATATTACAAAGAGGCCTACAAATTATGTGCTCTTAATACTGTATCTCTTAAAATTTCATTGACGTGAGTAAGACGCTGGCTCGCTAAAGCATAGAGGTCCCGTGTTCGATGCCGGTGTTGGCCGAGATTGTTCATCGGAATTTTGAGTGGTGTAGAACGTTCGGATGGCAGTTGGCATTGGACATAAGTGTAGAATGTAGCCCTCTGTCCGGGAAAAACTTTATTTCATTCGACATAAATTTGCAAGCACAATCTGCAAAATTAGAAAAAGGGTGTGATGCGGATGGGTTGAATGAAATTATATTGGGATAAAGTGAATGGGACCTGGGACATGAGACATAATGTTTAACGGGATGTACGCACAAGGCAAATAAAATTACCAGTTTCAATGAAGACCCTTTGGGCCCCGGGCGAAGCTGGGTATCTTGCTAGTTCATAATAAATTCTGGATATTCCAGCCAGCGGATCTCAATACAGCACTACCCATTGTGTTGGTGGTCGTACAGCTATAACACATTTATTTGAGTGGAAATGGTCAGAAATTGCAAAAGAATGTGAACGGTTTCTAGGACCATATGGCTACTGTGGTGTTCAGGTGAGTGACCAAGTTGATGATTTAATGAAGGCCTATTAAACTATCCTATACATCGATATCCTGTGCTTTTCTATATTGAAAAATACGTCAAATTCGTTTCCATGGAGACGCAATATAAATACAACAGTTCTGTGGATAACAATTACTGTATTTCTATTAAAACTACGTTTCAACAATGATTCTCTTGTCGTTGCCCTTGTCAAGTCCTCCGTCCTGCACGACCTTAAAAGAACATTTTCAATAAAAATTGCATGTTTTATATGATTTTTCAAATTTATACCACGGCTTCATGGGACCATTGAATACATTCCTCGAAACACTGCTAATGAACAGTATGACTTGTTATTCAGATTTCTCCAAGCGCAGAACACAAGATTTTACCGAATCGTCCGTGGGTCGAGAGATATCAACCAGTTAGTTATAAACTAGTTACCAGAAGTGGTAATGAAGCGGATTTTAAGGATATGGTAGAACGCTGCAACAAGGTGGGCGTCAGGTAAGCTAAATATGCATTTTGCACACAGAGAACTATATACTTTCAAAATAGATCTCAGCCATGAATGGCCACCACATTCAAACATGAATATTCTATTGTGTTACACGATTCTACTCCGTTTCACATCTTTCATACATGTTCAATTCCATTAAATGGAAGCAAAATATGAATACTTCTAAAAATTATCGAAGTATACTTCGTGTTACCGACTAAATTCGTCGATTTAGGAATTAAAATGTCGGTCAACTAGCTCCGTGTCTATTCTCAGTAGACAGACAACCTTATTATAATTATGGTCCTGTTTACTTGAATGTGCATGCCGAAAAATGTATAAACCATTGTTTTCCTCTATCACTGAGCCGCGGCGTCTCATGGGTAAGATTCTGGCTCGCTAACCTGGAGGTCTAGGGTTGTTCCCCTTGTCAGTGGTGCATGACGGGGGATATCTGTCTAGTCGTTCGGACGAAACGTAAAATCAAACTCCCGTGTACACACAGGCGTGCAAATAAAAGAACCCTTGATAGTTGGAATTCGATGTAAGATTTGGCCATAGCGCCTCTGTCAGGTCAAAATGGCACCCAAAGTACATTGCATTGAGTATCTCCGTCTAAACCCTTTTTCGTTTAATTTCATTTCGTTCCTCTGTCGTGTGTTTACAGGATCTATGCTGATGTTGTTGTCAATCACATGTCTGCTGAAGGAGGTACTGGATATGGTACAGCTGGATCCTCATATGATACATACACCTTACACTATCCTGGCGTACCTTACGGACCAAATGACTTCAATGGTCATTCAGAATGCAGAACGGCCGATCTTGGCATTAATAATTATAATAATGCGATAGAAGTCAGAAACTGTCGATTGCTGGGTATGCCAGACCTTCGTCTTTCGTCTGATTATGTCCGTGGTAAAATCGCGGGTTTTTTCAACCATCTGATTGATTTGGGAGTTGCCGGCATCAGGGTTGACGGTGCCAAACATATGTGGCCCGGAGACGTTGCAGCAGTTCTGGCGAAAACCAAAAATTTGAGGTCAGATATATATGGTGCAGGGAAAAGGATGTTTGTTTACCAAGAGGTCATTGACATGGGCTCTGAACCAATCAAAGCCTCTGAATACATAGGAGATGGGAGAGTCACTAATTTCATTTTCGGAGCCAAATTAGCAGAAATATTCCGAAAAAAGAACCCAATGAAGTATTTGAAGAATTGGGGCGAAGGTTGGGGGATGATGAAATCGGGAGATGCCGTCACTTTCCTCGATAACCATGACAACCAGAGAGGTTCGGGTGGTGGAGGAAATGTCCTTACCCACTGGGAACCCAGAGCCTACAAACTGGCAACAGCATTCATGCTGGCTCATCCTTACGGGTTTTCAAGAATTATGAGTAGCTATGAATACAACAAAGCTGACCATGAAGACGGTCCTCCCCACAACGCAGACTTTAGTATCAAAGATATCCTCGTCAAAGCGGACATGTCTTGTGGAAACGACTGGTCCTGTGAACATAGATGGCGTCAGATTTACAATATGGTGGCCTTCAGAAACAAAGCTGGTGGAGATGGTTTAAGTAATTGGTGGTCTGGTGGTGATTATCAAATTGCATTCTCTCGTGGCAACAAGGCTTTTATTGCTATGAATCTAGATGGATTTGATATTAATGCTAATCTGAACACTGGTCTGCCCGGTGGTACTTATTGTGATGTTATTTCTGGTAATCTTGAAAACGGAAGCTGTACCGGAAAGACGATTCAGGTCGGTGGAGATGGTAAAGCTCAAATTAATGTTGGTCACAGTTGGGAAGATCCCATGATTGCCATCCATATCGGTAAGATTTCTTTGCTAAAATTGTATTCATACTATCATTTGCATTCTTGGTCATAGGTGTGGATGGACGATGCATTAAAGGGACAATAACACTCTTGCTGGCTTGACAGCTCCAGAAAATAAAAAATAGCCTTGTGTTAGTGTCCGACCTGTTGTGTAAATTATCCATTAAATCCTATTTTACTTCTCCAAAGGGTTCAAAAATATTTAAATTCAAGTCATATTTGAAAAACTTTACGTCAGGCTTTTCAAATAATTTAGTTGAATTAGGTGTGTTAAGATGAAATTTGTATCATCAATTAATTGGAATATTGTATAATAGTACAATTTGTTGACCAGAATAAAGATTAGGACATATTTTTCAGTTACAAAAAGAGTGGTATTGAGCCTTTAAAAATGCTAGTTACTATATTAATGAAACTTTGATTGAAGAGAAACAAATACAAAGTCGTCCTTTTGAAGCTGCTTGTTGATAATACACTCGATTTGAAAACCTTGAAGTTTGGCAATCTCGAAGTCTTTAAACTAGTATTATCTCATTCAGACGATATGTACTTCAATAATGTATATGTTCAAATCTCTATAGATGCAACTACTACAAACATCATTGTATCATGGGCTACGTTTTCTCCAAATTAAATATTTATGCTAAAATTTCTTTTCTTTGCAGGTGCCCGCCAAGGTTCTTCCCCTTCAAGAGTGGGTTAAATATACCCCACTACAATCATCACTGTAGCAGACTGGGACCCACGTTTATAAGCTTTTCATTTTTTACCATTTTTACCATCGAATAAACCTAAAAAAACCTTTATAGTCTCTCAGTATATAACATTTGTAGCCTACAAGCAATCAAGGGGTTAACTATAGCTGGGAGGGATGATGATACACGTATTTTTGACAAAATCAAGCGACCAAAAACTATAATATTAATAAGATATGTACTATGAAATATATAGACATCATTGGCAGGACGTGGAGAGTACATATCAGTGTTGGACTGGCGTAGCTACATTAATATTTATTAAACGCAATCGAAGTTAAAGGAGTCTCTTTTGTACTAATTGCAATCAATCTAATTAAAACACAGATCCAATTTCGTTTCGTTTTTATAGTTCAAAATTTCGATTTTACATGTAGTGTAGGCCATCGAAAGTATAAAAAATATAGATCTTTATTTTATGATCAGTAGTGGAATACCGCGTTTTATCAGTGAAATAAAAGTGTTATTCCACTGGCTAGAAGCGGACAAAGTAGTCCATGTTGTTTTTACCTAAAATGATTGTAAAATCATAAAATAAATAGAACATTTGTCGTTTTGTCGTGAATAACATATTTTATTTCATCTCTAAGCAAGAAAACGTTTATATTTTCACTCATGCTACGCATTCGTGAAAATATAAGTTTTCTTGCTTCTTGATGAAATAAAATATGTTATTCACTCTAAAACGACAAATATCCTCTATATATTTTAATTAGATTGAATTGCAATAACAACATAAAACAAAGGTCGGATCCGACACGATGAAACAATTAAAAGGGGAACGTTTTAGTAAAGAAATGATACCGATAGTTTGAAAACGGGTTTCTCGACAACATCGCTTGATATAATGAAGTACAAGCACGTATATGGCAGGATCAAGGGGGATTGGGCGTTTGTTATGCTATACGCCCTTCTGATCTATTAAAATTGCTGTCTCAAACGAGCGAACTCGGTGTCCAGAATTTGTTAAAACGAAACCCAAAGACATTAAAATAATGTTTTTAAAAAAATATATTTCGTACACAGTTCCATTGTCACGTTTATTCCATACAGGAACAACGTGTAGTCCTTCAGATAGGACGAGGTACCGTACGTGCTCATAAAAAAAATCCCCTGCCTTGACAGTTGGAATTCGAAATAAGAGTAGGCGGTAGCGCCGCTGTCCGGGCAAAATGTACCTCATATATGCATGGCGCATAGTAGGACGTTAAACCCCATTTCAATTCTATTACACAATTTTTAGCCCCACGTGATTTGTTCCCAGTTATATAGAATGAGAGGGAGGGAAATGGGGTTTAACATCCACTCGACACAAACTAGGTCATTTCGGGGCCAACATATGGTTTTAATGTTTTATTTCAATAACTCGCTTACGTATAGGGGTCTTTAGCACTGGGAGGACAAGGAGAAAACCCACGCCAGTTGACTCAATGCCAGGCCTTATGATACAACGCGCACGTGCTAACCATTCAGTCACCCAACACCCCTATATAGAATGAAATAGGAGCAAAATATAGATATATTTCTGTCACCGGAATATTTTTTTTTCTAGATATCTGTAGATTATCTGTGTGAATCAAAATGTGACAGAAAGACTGTTGGTACAAAGTAGTTAAGGGGGCACTTGAGTGCAGAAAGGTGTCATTACTTTATAGTTATATATAGCTGGGATTATGAACGAAAAAGATTGTTAGAATTTGAAGGTCAATCACTCCCTTTACTGTACTTGTAAAAGGACTTCAAAAAAAGTATTTGTCAGAGAGAGAGATGATATGTTTACCAAACTAGGTTATTCTGGGACTAACATACCCTTTAATTGTATTTCAATGTTCAATAAAAGAGTCTTTAGCAATGGGAGTAAACCAGGGGACCCTGATAAAACCTACAAGCTGGGAATCGAATTCATCACTCAATGAAAGACATGATCTGTAATTAAAGGCACCACTGGGAGATAGGTAATCAGAAACACATCTTTGTCATAAATGTAGCAATGGTTTATGCTCTGATAAAGCACATAAATTCACAAAGATGGTACCTGTTGTAGTTGGAGAGAGAGTAATGTCCACTCAACACAAACTAAGTCAATTTGGGACTAACATGGTTCTACTTTATTTCCATAATTCGCTTGTGTGTAGGGGTCTTTAGCTGTGGTACAAAGACAGAGGATCCTGGAAAGGCGACCCTACTCCTAGTCACGTATAAACTGGCAATCTTAACCATGTCACTGGATTCAATGACAGACCTTATGATCTATCATGCACTCCTTGCACCATTAAGCCACCCAATCTTCCCATTTTGACAGACACTTGATGGCCAACTCTCTTTAAATTTAAATGTATTTTATTTAATATATGAAATATAATAATAGTAGAATTTATAAGTGATGTAAAAGTTACAAACATACAAGTGTATAACAGGTAAAAAAAAATATTGCAGCACAATAAAATAACAGTATCTTAATTAAATATCAGACAATCAATTTAATTTCATTTTAGCCTGGATTAAGCAGTGAAAAAATAGACTTCATTAAAATGACAATCACTGGCTTTAAAGAGAACTTAGCATTCAATATAGCTTTCATAAATTAATGACGTTATTTGCATTAAATTATTTTATCAAAATTCATAATAAAGATCAAATTGAAAGGACGGATATATTATTTATAGTTTAAGTTTAATTATATTAAATTATATATTATATCAATTATTTATAAAATAAATCAAGTTTAAAGGACGGATATATTAATCATGTATAATATAGATCATAAATGTAGAACAAAATAGAACAAAATATTAATTATACACAATTTCCCATATAAAAATTTAACATAGATAGATTAAACAAACTAGACAATGACTTACTTTGAAGATCCAATGGCTTATTTTGAAGATACAAACGGTTAACTTATTCAATAAATCTTTAACTTACTTTGAAGATACAAATGGTTAACTTTGACGATACAAATGACTGGTTAACTTTTAAGATACAAATGACTGGCTTACTTTGAAGAAACAAATGATTTACTTTGAAGATACAAATGATTTACTTTGAAGATACAAAAAGTTTACTTTGAGGATACAAATAATGACACAAGGAGAAATTATATGTAAGACATCTTCTATCCAAATTGGAGAAATGTCTGTGTCATTCCTGAGAAAAACAATATTGCTTATATGTAGGTAGAAACCCCTCATTTTCTTCTGGTTTAAATAAATAAAATATGCATCATGACATTGTTGTATTGTTGTGTAGGCAACATGTAGTGTGTATCATCAAGATGGTCTATCATAACAGAACCCAACAAATAAATCACTGGATAAGAGAACTCCACAGTATATAAAAACAACCATGTCAAAGAATAAAAATCCATGATAAACAAGCATGGAAATAAGGCACCTGTCACAGACATTTTCAGGCATTATTTCAGGCACAATCCTTCTGGTGCCTGTCATCTTGACTGGCTCAAATTTGTCTTTTTTCTGTGTTTTTATTGATATTTTAACCCTTTAGCACTTAGATCGCTCTAGCTAGGGATCCATGGATCGCCCAGCCATGTTCACAGCTCTTGCGTCCGCACACGCACGAACTATTAAATAGACCACCCAGTCACGTTCACAGGTCTCGTGTCCGCATAGACTGGTAAATAGATCGCCTAGTCACTTAACAGCTCTCGCACCTGCACGAACTAGTAAATAGACCACCCAGTCACGTTCACTGGTCTTGTGTCTGCATGAACTGGTCAATAGAGCCCCCAGTCACGTTCACAGCTCTCGTGCACCTGCACGAACTAGTAAATAGACCACCCAGTCACGTTCAATATTTAAATTTACCAAGTGCTAAAGGATTAATACGCAAAGTTCAAAATGTCAGGCACTAGTTCTACTAAAATCATCATTTCCATGCCTGATAATAACTATACAAACTATTTTGATTTAATAATTAAATGCATATGGAATGTGGATTGGTTTTTGATTTGGTATAAGATATATTAAATAACATCTATCACAGTTCAAAATATCACAAATAACAATCAGATATAATTTCATTAATTCTGTAGTTTTGGGATTCTTCCTCCAAGCTTTGTAATAACATCCATCATTTCTGCATTTTCTGAAAAAAAAACCCAACAAAACAATGGAATGTAATGAAATGAAATGGGATTTAACATCCTACTGTTCTGCTCCTGACCTGGCTAATAAAGAAGTATATATGCCATTCAGTGTGCTATGAGGGGAATTTTGCCCTGACAACGGCATTACAGCCTAATCTTATATCAAATTCCAACTGCCAAGGGATCTTTTACGTGCACATCAATGTGTACAGGGGACCTCGGTTTTTCGTCCCATCCAAACCCACTATACATTGTCCCTTACTAGGCCCTCTGTTCCATACCACTGACAAGATGGAACCACGCAGGAAAATCTGGATGACCTTTCTCCATCGAATACCAGACCTCCAGGTTGGCGAGCCAATGTCTTACCCGCCAAAAAAATGGGGGGTTTTGAATCCTACTTTTCAGGACCAACCTAATGAGTACGACCCCTGATGATTTTTGTAATATGAAATTAAAATAAAATATTACGTTGTTTAAGTGGTTGTTGTTCTTGTAATATTTCCTGGTTTCTGGCCGACAGAAAGACGGCATCTTGTATAGCATCTTCTAATACATGACGATATCGTTGTTCAATGGCTGCCTTCTGTTCTTCAAACATCTGTCTATACTGTCGAAATGTCTAAAATATAAATATAAAATCAAGTTTTATAACACAGATTTTCATTTTGCTTTTCATTTGAACATGTTTGAAATGTCTACAGAGGTGATTTTGAGCTTGTCGTGTAAATAAAGGTCTAATTAATAATTTCTATAACATTTTAAGCCTAAACAAGCCAACAGTGAGGCTGATGTCCCCCGCCGAAATAGGAAAATAATTAGAGGACACATATAAAAATCAAATTGCGTATCGCTCTGCTTACCCTGAGCAGAAAATGCTCATTATCAAACTTAGTCAAGGTATTACTGTAATGAAACTATACACCAAGTTTCATCAATCTCACTTAATTAGAACTAAAGTTATCGTGTCCCAAAGCATCAACCAATCAAATTGCTTATCTCTGCTTACCCTAAGCGGAAAATGCTCATCTTCGAACTCCATCAAGGCATTGACCTAATCAACACATACACCAAGTTTGAACATTCTAGCTCAATTAGGAAGAGAGTTATCGTGCCCCAAAGTATCAACCAATCAAATTGCTTATCTCTGCTTACCCTAAGCGGAAAATGCTCATCTTCGAACTCCATCAAGGCATTGACCTAATAAACACATACACCAAGTTTGAACATTCTAGCTCAATTAAAAGTTATCGTGTCCCAAAGCATCAACCAATCAAATTGCTTATCTCTGCTTACCCTAAGCGGAAAATGCTCATCTTCGAACTCCATCAAGGCATTGACCTAATCAACACATACACCAAGTTTGAACATTCTAGCCCAATTAGGAAGAGAGTTATCGTGTCCCAAAGCATCAACCAATCAAATTGCTTATCTCTGCTTACCCTAAGCGGAAAATGCTCATCTTCGAACTCCATCAAGGCATTGACCTAATAAACACATACACCAAGTTTGAACATTCTAGCTCAATTAGGAAGAGAGTTATTGTGTCCCAAAAAGTGTGACGGACAGACAGACGGACGGACAGACGGACAGACAGACGGACAGACAGACAGACAGACGGACGACCCATTTTAATAGTCCCCTGCTTTCTTCGAAAGGCGGGGGACAATAAAGACTTGCAATAGGCAGATTTAGCTCTTGCATAATGTTATGTTTAATATTAAATAATTAATCTGAACATATTGCAATGGATGAAGCGGTTAGAAATTCGATATTTTAGCGAAAAATGTAATAGAGAGAAAGAAATGTTGTTGAACGTCCACTCAACACAAACTAGGTCATTTTGAGATTAACATGGTATAATTTTATTTCAATAATTGGTATGCACATAGAAATCCCTGGTTCTTCTGAGAGAGAGAGAAATGGGGTTTTATGTCCCACTCCACAAAAACTAGGTGATTTCAAGACTAACATATGGTTCAATTTTATTTCAATAATTCAGCAGTGGGAGGAAACCGGAGGACATAGAGAAAACCCTCGAGGTTGGCCTTGCAACTCTACTCCTTGTCACGTACAACCGGGGAATCAAAATCATGCCAGTTGACTCAATGACAGACCTTATGATACAACACGCATGTGCTAACCATTCGGCCAGCTGGTTCTTCTGAGCCTTCAAAACTATTACAAAACAGTTGGAGAGTAATCTAGGTAATTTATAGTTGCTTTACCTGATAATGTTGTAATTGTTGAAGCTCCATTTCATCTTTATGTAGTTGATAAACTTCGTCTAATTCTTTACTTACATGATCTCTTTCTTTCTCTAGACATTGTAACTACAAATAGGTAGAATAATACATTAAACATACATTATGCAAGAGCTAAATCTGCCAATTGCACGTCTTTCTTTAGGCTTGAAATGTTATCTAAATTATTAATTAGACATTAATTAACTTATCCAGACCATAATCAACTTTCGATGGCATCGCTAGCCTGCGATATTTTCTGGATTAAAATCCTATCTGCTGCTCAACGCTCATTAAATCAAAAATTGATTAATCGAGACTATGTTTTTTTATCATACAGACTTTAGTAATGATGATCATGGCTACACCCAAAATTCAATCGCTAAAATCAGAGTGGATCGATTTGACTGAAATTGTCAGCAAATTCCCTCTAGTTTTTAACTATTATAGTGAGAACTGCCAGCTTTTTATCTAATCTCCCATAATGTATCTTTAAATTAATGTATGTACTCGATCAGAAGGTTGATGGTTCGATCATGGTATCGCAAGAAAGTTCTTGAGGGTTTTTCCGCCTGGTTTCAGATTGTCAGTGAAACATGACACAGAGAGAAATGGGGTTTAACGTCCACTCTACACAAACTAGGTCATTTCTGGACTTACACATGGTTCAATTTCATTTCTATAATTCGCTTGTGCGTAGGGGTCTTTAGCAGTGGGAGGAAACCGGAGGAACACCAAGAGGTTGGACAGACGACCCTACTCCTTGTCATGTACAACCAGGGATTCGAAACCATGCAAGTTGACTCAATGACAGACCTTATGATACAGCGCGCATGTGCTAACCATTCGGCCATCCAACCCCCCGCCTGGAAAGGTACAGTATCTAGTTGTTTGGATACAATGAACCAGCGGCTGCCAGGCAGGATACGCCCACATTTTCAAGAGATGGATAGAGAACAAGCTAAAAAGAAAGTGATTTTTCATACAATCAGGGGCCATAATTCAGGAAGTTATGGTACGATATGCGCTAATATCGAAAGGAACTGAGATCTTTGGGTTATAAACTTACATATCTAGTTTCAACAAAATCGGATAAAAAATTGTGACCTCTTTAGGGTCCACAACCTTGAAATACCATATTTTTACGCTATTTGAGAATGAAGGGCGGCCATTTTGTCTTGTCAGTTTTGGGCCGATTTTCACGAAATTCGAACTCAGTCGTCCTTAGGGTGTAACGGTGATTTAATAATACGTTTTTTTAAATCGGATAAAAATTATGACCTCTATAGGGTCCACAAGCTAAAAACGCGATTTTTCGTAAAATCAGGGACCATAATTCAGGAAGTTACGTTCCGATATGCGCGAATATCAAAAGGAACCAAGATCTTTGGGTTATGAACTTACATTTCAAGTTTCATCAAAATAGGATTAAAATTGTGACGTCTACAGTGTTCCCAAGCTAAAAACTTGATTTTTCGTACAATCAGGGGCCATAATCCATGAAGTTACAGTTCGATACATGCCAATATAGAAAGGAACCGAGATCTTAGGGTGATAAACCTATATTTCAAAGTTTCATTGAAATCGGATAAAAATTGTGACCTGTAGACTGTTCACAAACAATTGTGGACGGATGGACGGACGGACAGGGGCGACGACAATATACGTCCACATGAAAATGTGGGCGTATAAAAACCAAGATCAAACCGTGAACTCTTTGGCATATATGTAAAAGAACGCTAGAAGAGTAGGCGAATGACATTGATTGGGATAATCTGGATGAACAACTATTTATACCCTGATAACATGGTAGTCAGGGTACAACAGATATCTGTCCAGCAACATGCAGAAAAGAAATTTGAAATATTTGTCGTAACACTAATGTTAATTACCTTCAGAGTAACAACAGATTTTTCAGCACGAAGTTCTGCCAAATCCATTTCTAACTTAGCACCATCTTCTTTACTGTAAGTTTTACCTTCTGCTACCAATAACTAAAAATAGAACATAACCAAAATGTAATATTTTTCAAACAAAAGATTGAAAACCACTTGATGATAATTAGAATGTCCATCTTGCAACGTCTCATCAATTTTGGCACCAAATCCTTGAAATGAAATGAAATAAGGCTTAATGTCATTCCAACAGACAGTGATTCTTTATGTGCACACCAATTAATGAGTAAATGTGTGGACCACTGTTTTTCGCCCCATTAACTATCATGGCCAACATTAGGATCAGTTAGTAAGCAAGCGTCATACTCACTGAGGCACTAAAATATATGGTAATTATTTCAATAATTCACTTGTGCTTAGATGTCTTTAGCAGTGGGAGGACCCAGAGAAAAATCTATGACATTGACAGGCGACCCTTCTCCTTGGCACATACAAGGACCACCCTATAATTTGACTCCAATTTACATGAAATAAATGTAAGTAACTATTGCGGCCGACACCATGCCACTTGACTCAATGGCAGGCCTTATGATCTAAAGCACAGGTGTTAGACCCCCCCTCCCCCCCGTTTGTTTTCTCTAATTTACATTAAATAAACGTTTGTTTTCTCTAATTTACATTAAATAAATAAAAAAATGTAACTAAGAAGAGTACTGTAATTAAGGAGAATATTGGATTGATTATTGTAAATCTGCGTACCTGTATTTCAGCTTTTTCACTATCAATCTCCATTTTACATTTCTCAAGTTCATCTTCTAGCAATGTTTTATGTTCCTGTTCCATTCTCTGTCTTTCTTCAAGCTAAAGGTAAAAATATAATGTTTGTTTAAATGGAGAAGTTTTCCACAAATAAACATAATGAATGGAGGATGTGATGAAATCTTTTCAAGTAAACAAAATGTATTAAAATAGTAATTTGGATAATAAATATACAGCATTATCTATACTAATATTTGTGACTGTCGTTTGTCTGTCTGTCTGTCTGTTCGGGGTGGGCGGCTACTCTAGGTCTGCCCCGAGTCTGAAATTTGGGGTATAGGGGTAGCTCTGACCGGGGAGTAACATAGGCCAGGTGGCGTTAGTCTACCACTTCCGATTTCTGAGTTATGACCCCCGAGCGAAGCCGGTCTGTTCGGGGTTGGCGGCTACACTAGGTCTGCCCCGAGTCTGAAATTTGGGGTATAGGGGTAGCTCTGACCGGGGAGTAACATACGCCAGGTGGCGTTAGTCTACCACTTCCGGTTTTGGAGTTATGACCCCCGAGCGAAGTCTGTCTGTTCGGGGTTGGCGGCAACATCTGACCCGAGTCTGAATTTTTGGGTATAGGGGTAGCTCGGACCGGGGAGTAACATAGGCCAGGTGGCATTAGTCTATCACTTCCGGTTTCGGGGTTATGACCCCCGAGCAAGCTGGTCTGTTCGGGGTTGGCGGCTACACTAGGTCTGCCCTAAGTCTGAAATTTGGGGTATAGGGTAGCCCGGACCGAGGAGTAACATAGGCCAGGTGGCATTAGTCTACCACTTCCGGTTTCGGAGTTATGGCCCCCGAGCGAAGTCCGTCTGTTCGGGATTGGCAGCTACACCAGGTCTGCCCCGAGTCTGAAATTTGGAGTATATGGGTAGCTCGGACCGGGGAGTAACATAGGCCAGGTGGCGTTAGTCTACCACTTCCGGTTTCGGAGTTATGACCCCCCGAGCGAAAGCCGGTCTGTTCGGGGTTGGCGGCTACACTAGGTCTGCCCCGAGTCTGAAATTTGGGGTATAGGGGTAGCTCGGACCGGGGAGTAACATAGGCCAGGTGGCGTTAGTCTACCACTTTCGGTTTCAGAGTTATGACCCCCGAGCGAAGCCGGGTATCCTGCTAGTACAAATTAAACAATTTTATGGATACACAATTACTGAATTTATTATTAAGCGACTGGTTGATGAGGAGATTCTTGTATTTATCAAGCAAATGAAACAAATATGTGGTTATAGTAGAAATGAAATGGTGTTTAAGATCCTACTGTTCTGCTCCGAACTGGGCTAATGAAGACAGGCATACGGCATTCAATGTGCTATGAGGGAAATTTTGCCTGGACAGTGGTACTACAGCCTACTCTTATATCGAATTCCAACTGTCAAGGAATCTTTTACATGCACGCCAATGTGTACACGTTTTTTTAGCCCATCCAAACGACTAGACAGCTGTCCTTGTCAGGCCCTCCGTCCTGCATCACTCACAAGTGAGAACCAAGTCAGAAAATTGGTTATACAGAATATATTAACATTTTTACTTGCTTAAATATTTGCTTGATAGAGATTAAGAATATCTTTGTTGAAACATCATGTAGTAATAAATTTAGTAAAATTGTAATTATATTAAAATGTTCAATTATTAATGTTTAAGTATTAAATGCCTATTAAAGAAGTTCAGAAAAATTTATATTTTGAATTTTTAGATTTGAATTGATCAATTTGGTATTCTTATCTTTTACATTTAAATCACTGGAGAGAGAGAGATGGGTTTTAACGTCCTCTCGACACAAACTAGGTCATTTCGGGACTAACATATGGTTCAATTTTATTTCAATAATTTGTTTGCGTGAAGGGGATTTTAGCGGTGAGAGAAAACTGGAAGACCCAGATAAAACTCACGAGGTGGACTCAATGACAGACCTTAAGATCTAATACCCACGTATTAATCCCTTTGACCACCTAACCCCCCTAACAGACCATTTACTGTTGAAAGTCTTCTCTTTTATACGCACAAGTAACCAAGATAAATTGGGATGGCGAGGCAAGCTGTGGTCAAGCTGTGGTATCTGTATTCAAAAACACAAATTTAAAATGACAAGGTAAATTTCATGATAGATAACCCATGATGTGGAATGTTTTCAGAAATAACATATAATAAAGAAAACGTGTGATAAAAACGTACTTCAACTTTCTGTCTCAGCTTAGTATTTCCTTTAAGCGCTGTTGTTTGAGCCTTGGCATCCTAAAAAAAAAAAAAAACGAAAACATGAATTTATTTAATTAAAACACTATTATTGATAACAATTACGTATAGTTCATTACATTAAGAATTGGGATTAACCCACCAATGAGCCAGCACCTTAATTGTTAAACCACCTTAGCTCCTTCATCATTTGGTAATTCTGTAGATGATGTCATGGCGATATGTCTAAACTATAGCTGTTTGGTCGCGATGACACATCTTGGAACAAAATACACGTACGACTTTTATCACTTGACTATGTGAAGATGCTTTGTGTGATTAAGCCATTAGCCATTATCAATAATTTACCTCTCTTTCCTGTTGTTGTTTTTCTTGAATTGTTTTTAATTGTTGTTTTATATCTTTTAATTTCTCTGTTTCTTGTTTTAATTTATCTTTAATATCTCTAATACTGTTAACTCGAGACTTGGTTTCAGATTCACTCTTCTTTCCTAAAACAATAAATACATGAATGAATTCGAGAAGCTTACACAACATGATTTTATATTCTCATACAGGCTTTGTTTACTGGATTTTAAGTTGGCCACTCACGCTCAATATAATCCTCAATAATATTGCCAATACTTGATTTTGACAATTATATTGAGCGTGTGTATGCGATATTGAAACTCGAAATACTTGATGTCAATATGATTGAAGAAAGTAAAAGTCCGTAGATTTTTTATTGACGAATCGTCAATTTTTTTGCAACAATTGACTGTGTGTGGGCGTCATCAATAATATGGACGCAAAATATTTCACGCAAAGACGTGTGTGCCCAAACTTCTCCCGCTGGGTGTACCACAGTTTTGACCACTTCCCACGTCTTTTCCCTTTTCTTGGGACTTGGAATTGCCATAGCTAATGCTAAACAAATAGTTATGTCCATGATGGATGCTTTCCTCAGAATGAATATTGAGACAATATAATTGAACCTGTGTGGGAAACCAAAATTTGCTTCAATAAAATTGACATCAATAATATTGACAATTATATTGAGCGTGTGTGAGCCGCTTTGGAGTTATATCTGTCATTGGTCAATATGGGAAGAACAGATGGACCATCATGATTGGGATGTGTTTGTTAAAGCCTCTGAGTGATTTTAAATCCTGTGAAAACTACCATATTGTGAAAGTTTAATCTAAAAGGGGAGAGAGAGAGAGAGAGAGAGAGAGAGAGAGAGAGAGGGGGAGAGAGAGAGAGATAAATGGGGTTTAACGTCCACTCAACACAAACTAGGTCATTTCGGGACTAACATATGGTTTAATTTTATTTACACAATTCACATGCGCGTAGGGGTCTTTAGCAGTGGGAGGAAACCGGAGGACCCGGAGAAAACCCACGAGGTTGGACTAGCGACCCTACTCCTTGCCACGTACAACCGGGGATTCGAAACCACGCCAGTCGACTCAATGACAGACTTTATGATACAGCGCGCGCACGCTAACCATTCAGCCATCCAACCCCCTAATCTAAAAGGTATATCAACCCCAAAAAGGTTCAGTTTTGTTCAGTATTTACAAAGATATGATGAATTAAAAATTCCCCAACATTCGGCATCCACTGTAGATGATAAATGTTAATAAAAAAACCAAATTAAACCAGTGTTGAGTAAAATCATTTGAATCCAAACAGGGAGTTTCTCTACCTTTGTTATTTTAGTTTTGTTTTTGTTTTCATAATTAAATGCTAAATAAATAAAATGAAATAAAATGGGGTTTAATGTCATACTGTTCTGCTTTGGGCTAACTAAAACGGGCAACGTCATAAAGTGAATTTTCTCGGCCAACGTCAGGATGGATCCCGAAACCTCCAGGCTAGCGAGCCAGCATCTTACTCACTTAGCCACCGTGGCTCCTAAATAATCAATCTGAGTAATTAGCATGGATTAAGCCATGAAGAACAAAATTCTGTCCCAAAAAGGCAAATGATGATCAGCAACTTTAAGTTATCTAAACAACAAGACTGGATGTCAGTGTGAACAAAACATTTCTGTTACTCCCATACCAAGAATTCAAGTCTACAAATTCACAGATTTTAATCTCTGTGCCGCCCCGCAGTAAAATCCAGTAGAGGATAAACCTACCAGTTTCAATAAATTTAGAATAATCTGTAATTTTCTTCTGTAATTCATCCTTTAATTCATCCACTATTTTACGTTTGTCCTTGTACTGAATGGTTAACTGAAAAAAAAAGAAAAAAAAGTTTAATTATATGGTTAAAGGTTAGAGAGTGATAAATGGTGTTTCAGTCTGAATAAAAAGCTCTTAGAATCTTGTATTCTAGTATGGTTGTTGTTGTTAGTTAGTTGTATTTTACCTCCGCTTCCACAGAGGTGATATCGCAGACAAGTATTCAAGTATCAAGCAACTATCTGTTATATGAATTCAAAGGAATTCCAACATCTAGTTTTCAAATGGAGTTGGAGTCTAGTTAAGTAGAAATCAGATTATAAAGAGAGAGAGAGAGAGAGAGAGAGAGAGAGAGAGAGAGAGTTTAATGTCCATTGTCACAAACTAGGTCATTTCGGGACTAACATGGTTCAATTTTAGTTCACTAAATCGCATGTGCGAAGGGGTCTGTAGCAGTGGGAGGAAACCTGAGGACCCAGAGAAAACCCACGAGGTTGGACAAGCGACCTCACTCCTTGTCACATACAACCGGGGCATTGAAACCACGCCAGTTAACTCAATGACAGACCTTATAAGCCGGCACGCGCTAAAAATTCGGCCATCCAACCCCCGTGCTCTAAAGGAGTTACACAAACCTGGATTCTCTTTTGTTTTGGCAATCATTTCCAAGCGGCTCAATATTCTGAGCTAAAATTTCAGACACAGTAAAAATGCTATTTCCTCATATCTTGGTGTTTGATTGGCATACTGACATTTTTTTGTCCAAAACTTTCAAATGCTTGACGAGTCAAAACATGAATGCAAAGTCAAGGGGAGCAACAGACAGTAAGAAGGAAATTAGAGACACAAATAACAATATGGCATGTGGTTCTTAACTATATGATTACTGTACCTGATCTTTTTCTTTCTGTAAAAGTAGCAGTTTTTCTTGTAATTCTAAATTCCCTTGTTTCATACTGTCCATAACCCATTCTAATATACCCTGAAATACATATACCATTTTAATATAGCCTGTAATGTATATTATTATAATATACCCTGAAATATAAACAATTCTAATATACCCTGAAATATAAACTATAGATTCTAATATACCCTGGAATATAAACTATAGATTATAATATACCCTGGAGTATAAACTATAGATTCTAATATACCCTGAAATATAAACTATACATTCTAATATACCCTGAAATATAAACTATACATTCTAATATACCCTGAAATATAAACTATAGATTCTAATTATATACCCTGAAATATAAACTATAGATTCTAATATACCCTGGAATATAAACTATAGATTCTAATATACCCTGGAGTACAAACTATACATTCTAATATACCCTGAAATATAGATTCTAATATATCCTGAAATATAAACTATACATTCTAATATACCCTGAAATATAAACTATAGATTCTAATTATATACCCTGAAATATAAACAATTCTAATATACCCTGAAATATAAACTATACATTCTAATATACCCTGGAATATAAACTATAGATTCTAATATACCCTGGAGTATAAACTATACATTCTAATATACCCTGAAATATAAAGTATACATTCTTATATACCCTGGAATATAAACCATATACTCTAATAATAATATACCCTTTATAATAAACCATTGTAATATCCCTTCCCTTCCATCCATGTTATATTGTCTTTATTTGATAAATCTGATTAAAACACAGATCCTATTTCGTTTTTCAAAATTTTGTTCTAATTGTCTTCGCTACACTAGGATCTGGAGTTTTTAAACCATCGTTCTGGTTGATGTGAGGGAATAGCCAATCAAATGGTGTGTTGAGTCAAGTTCTTATCATCTGGCACAAGGAACTGTGGGTAGACATTTTCAGTGATAGAAAACAAATCAAAGCAGAAGTTGTATTTCCAAATACCCACTGTAAACACTGACACTGATTGGTTAATCGATTGATTGACTTCATAGGGTCAAAAACCTATCGTATGACCCCTGAATCTCCCCCCATCGAAGAAGCATTAAAAAAACAAATCAAAAAATCAGATTGATCTTCGATATTGTTCAATTCTATACGTACCTTTTTAGCCAAGTTAATTTTTCTTTCTTCGTCATATTTAGCGGACATTCTTTCTCTTTCAGACCAACTCAGTTTTTTAGCCACCTGTAAATCTTGTACGAGGTCCTCCATCTTGGCAACATCATCTCTGTTAGGATTGTTAGCAGCCGCAATTTTATCTCTTAATTTACAGATTTCATTTCTTAATTCATTCACCACATCATTTGTCTCATCCTAGAATTCATAAAAAAATAGTTTTTGGGCCAAGAGTGCAATATTTCTAAATTAAGTTGAAATGGAGAGAGAGAGGGGTTTAACGTCCACTCGACACAAAATAGGTCATTTTGGGACTAACACATGGTTCAATTTTATATCAATAATTTGCTTGCACGTAGGGGTCTTTGGCAGTGGGAGGTAACCGGAAACCCGGAGAAAACCCACGAGGTTGGACAGGCGACCCTACTCCTTGTCACATACAACCAGGGAATCGAAACCACGGTAATTGACTCAATGACAAACCGTATGATACAGCGCTCACATGCTAACTATTCGGCCATCCAAACCCCCAAGCTGAAACAGACTACACCAAGAGGACTAATTGAGACGGTGTGCCTTGAGTGAAAACTTGCCCGGGATAGTGGCACTTCCGCCTACTATCCATCACATTCAAATGGTCAAGTACAAGGGTGAAACTTGTTTTTATCATCCCCTCCGAATGACTAGATACTTTTGTTTGCTTAATCCTAAAAACACAAATGATAATTAGTGACTTTAACAGTTAGAATGCCTTTATCACAACCATGTACAATTTCTCTAAAATTTTGCATTCAATCAAATTTGAACATCCCTGATGTACCTGATCGGTCAAATGAACATTTTTTTATCATTCAATAAATACCTCTTAAGCACAAATGCCAGTTATTTTTACTTTTTTGTAATTCTGAGTATGGCTATATAAATGATCTTACCAGATTGAGTTTAACTTTATTTTTAATATTATGGACCATCTGAGCATATTCTAATGTTGATAAAGTTTGCTGATAGTATTTATCTGGAATGTGAAGAATAATTAGCCCATTATGTCACATATATGATCTAAGAACCCATGGCCCCAATTTTTAAGTGAATTTCTATTTGAATAAGTGCACACAGCTATACATGAAAAAAGGGACACCTGATTTTCTCAGAAACAGGACAAATATAATAAAGTCGAGTTTTTGCAAGTGGTGAAACGATAAATGGGCACTCATTATATCTGAATTATGGAACTGTCTAGCATGCCGTATTTCGCGGAACCTAACTGATTTGAAATTAGAGTCAAAACGGAAACAATTGAATGTAAATCAGTTTATATACAATCAGATAACATTATAATATGCGTTGCGACCCATTTGTGTAAATTTCTAGGTCCAAAATATTAGCGATTTAGCTCCTTTAACACAATATAAATACTATATATTAACCATATTAAAAATGCCCATCATGGAAACTCTAATATGACTAACCTGCTGGCGAGACTGTAACCAACAACATAGTTATAGTATTACCAGATAACACATCCTGAAAAAATAAACATTTCACTTGTATGTAGGCTCATAATATTATAATATACATTGAAAAACTTTAATTTGATTCCAAAGAAATTTAACCAGACAAGTCTTGTGAACAGACAGAAACTATCAGTCATATTTATAATTAAAGTCAGTACACTTTAGAAATCATAAAAATCATCTTCTCAAAAACGAAATATTTAAAGTAGGGTTGGGGCAACCACATTTGTCGATGCAATAGTCGTATTAGCACAAGCGAAAATATGTCTAAAACGACTTTATTGATGAAAACCATGATTTTTTTTTTTTATTGTGGGGCAGAGCCATTTTTCAAGATGGCGGCTGAATTAGCTGGAATATTTGAGAACCCTGGATAACGCCTTTATGGTACATTTTAGACCCCATAAATGTATTATGATCATATAAGAAATCAACCTCAACAAATTCATTTATGACCTCAAGTCCGTCCTGATTAGTGATCCAGCTCCTTCCTCGCTGAGACATCGTGGCTCCCGATTCTATTTTAAAGAAATTTTTTGTTGAGGTATGGAAATATTTTATTGTTTAAGTATGGAAATATAAAGCAACGCAATAAAAATATGTAGAATAGTCATTAAACAAGTATTATTCAAGAGTTAAATCTGCCTATTGCATGTCTTTCTTTGGGCCTTAAATGTTATCTAAATTATTAATTAGACATTAATTAACTTATCAATACCATAATCAACTCTCGATGCCATCGTTAGCCTACAATATTTAGTGGATTTGAATAATTTTTGTGATAGATGTTTTAACGTCAAAATGAATAATCAAGACTTTGTTTATTATCGTACCGATGGTAGTAAATGACATTCGAGGCTAGCCTAAAACTGAATCGCTAATATCTCAGTTCAGAATGAAGCAATATGACTGAAATTTTCATGATATTCGGTTTTCATTATTTATTTTTTAACTATTATAGCAAGAATTGTCAGCTCTTTATCTAATCTCCCATAATGCCCCTTTAACTGACAATATAGTTAAAATCTGTGATAAAATACCTGAAGGATTCGAGTTATTTTAGATTCTCTAAAGGGAACATGGCCGCCCTTTTTCTTGGAGTCACCCAATGCACTGATTACATTCAATAGTCCTTGAGTTCTGAGAATAGAATTAAATCACATTAATGATACAGTAGCAAGCATGGTCAGATATTACTTTGAACACATCTTATCTGATTATCTTTAAGTGGCAATTAGTAGCTGGACGGAAATGAAAATGAAATGTGGTTTAACGTCCTACTGTTCTGCTCCTATACTGGGCTAATGAAGACAGTCATACACCATGCAGTATGCTATGAGGGAAATTTTGCTCGTACAATGGTGCATATGGCCTACTCTCTTTCAAATTCCAACTGTCAAGGGTTTATTTTACGTGCACGTCCCATCCGAACGACTATTCATTGTCCTTGGCCAGGTCCCCCTCCCCATCCCCAGTCCTACATCAATGACAAGAAGGAAGTACACCGGAAAATCATGATGATATTTTCTTGGCCAACGCAGGGATCGAACACGGCCGGGACCACCATGCTAGCGAGCCAAGGTCCTTCTCACTGAGCCACCGAGGCTCCGTTTGGATAGAGTAAAAATCAAAACACACATCGTTATGGAACACAGCTACTAGTATATGTAATTCCCTTATCTTGTCATTTTATATTTTAACCTATTGTGTCACAGACCTTTGATCTAGTTGTTATCATGTATAGTTTTGGTTATGTTATAAATTGTCTATAATTTGCCTCTTATCTGTATTGCTATATTAGCTTGATAACATTAAGAGAATACACTTCGAAACAAAACATAAATACACTAGTAGCTATTTTCCATAAGTATATGTTACTGTTTTTTTTTTATCTTATTCTGTGTTTCTAATTTAATTAAGTGGTAAATAAACGTATCAAATAAGTAGAAAACATAAATAAAATAATTTACCCAACCACAACATTTGGATCTGTACTACTAGAGCCTGATTCACAACCTGTAAATATAATAATAACCTATGGTATATATCATTGTGATGAAATTGACTAGCAATATCAGTTTATTAACTGGTTTTACAGATACACTATAAAATCACATTTCAGTTCAAGTGTCAGGCTATTAATGGGTTTTACATATAATTGGGGTTCAATGTCCTACTTGTCTGCTCCAACTGGGCTAATGAAGGCAGGCTTACACCATGCAATGAGCTATGAAGGAAATTTACTCGGACAGCAGGGCTACAGCCTACACTTATTTTGAATTTAAACTGCGAAGGGTTCTTTTACGTACACGCCAATGTGTAATCAAGACCTCGGTTTTCTGTCCCATCCGAATGACTATACACTGTCTCATGCAAGTCATTCCGTCCTACACAATTGACAAGGGCGAACCATGGAATTAATGAGATATTAATTAAAATACCTGCTAAATCAGCCAATATGATAGATGATCTAACACCAACTTTACTTGATTGTCTTTCTTTCTGTTCAATATTTATACTAAATACAGCATGTGCTCTAATAAAAAATATATATAAACCATTACATAGTACAATAACTATAACCTCTTTATACTAAATACAGCATGTGCTCTAATAAAAAATATATATATAAACCATTACATAGTACAATAACTATAACCTCTTTATACTAAATACAGCATGTGCTCTAATAAAAAATAAATATAAACCATTACATAGTACAATAACTATAACCTCTTTATAAACAGAGAATCAGAAGTGACCTATTGCAGTTCTTTTTTCTGGCTTCAAAATATTACTTTGACATTTATTCATATGTCAAGCCTATAATCAACTCTCTAGATCACCTGATGACCCAGAACACCCACGAGTTTGAAACATTTAACAATAAAAAGGATAAAGATTGTCCAGTACCGTTGCTATGATAACAAACGATCTCACTACCTGTCATTGTTCAGTCATAACTTTGCCCAGAATAAAGTAATTTGAATGAAATTTTCAATATATTCATTTTTTATTATCTATTTTTGAACTATTATAACAAGAACAGCCAACTCTTTATCTAAATATTACATAATGCCTCTTTAAAGAAACTACAACAATGATATTGGATATATAAAAGAAGTAAATCTGTACCTTGTTCTGTGGGCTTTCATATCACTGGCTCCCATTTTTCTAGCTCTAGTTCCTTGATTAAAATACATCTTTATTTCATCCTGATTGTGACAGACCATTTCAGCTAAACCATCAACATATCTATAAGATGTTACAAAATTGTCCAAAAACAGATATTTATGGGAAAATCTAAATTCATAGCTTTATTTTAAAGTCTCAAGGATTTAACGTCCACTTGACACAAACCAGATCATATTGGGACTAACACATGGTTCAATTTTATTTCAATAATTCGCATGTGTGTAGGGGTCTTTGGCAGTGGGCGTAAAACAGAGTGTGGAGGAACTGGAGAAAACCCTCGAGGTTGGACAGACGACCTTACTCCTTGTCATGTTCAAGCGGGGAATTAAAAACAGATGTTGTGATTTCATACGCATGCGCTAAATAACTAGACCACCCACCCCACCCCCCAGTCCACATGAAAAGTTTTTATAATCAGTCAGATTACCATATTTTATATATAACATATTTTACATTTGTGATATATGTGAAAAATATGACTTCCTGTGCCTTTAATCTCTGACTTGCACAATCTTTGATGCATAATTTTTTATATGGTTACAATGCAGCAATAGTATCAGGAAGTACATGTACTAGGAATCTTTCTGATGTCAATCCACTGTGTGCAGTGCATCCTGAATATACACACCAAGCCATGGAAATAGCTATTTTAGTTTCACCTAAACTAACTGAAGATATAGGATCCCTTACGCCCCAGATTACCCGTGACCACGTCAGTCGTACAACCACTCAGTATTTCTGGCAGCACTTTTCTATGATTCCTTAAGATTCACAGGTGGTTTGTTTCCCTTCTTGTGCAAAATTCTATCTGAATAAGTTTCTTTAATTCAGCATCTGTCACCTTAAAGACCTGATCATAATAAACTGTACTCACATGCCCTTATATGGATGTTGTTTGATTGTCATTTCATCACTGTGTGGATTTAATAGATCAGTCATAGTCTCATCTAAAACCTGAAAAATTGGAAATACAGTTCTAAATAAATACAGGAGTAATTTAGATGTAATATTTGTAAAGTGCTTAGAAATATCACTGGATATAATGAAGCGCTATAGAAGAAGAAGAAGTCTTTAGTAAATCGGAGGACCTGGAGAAAACCCACGAGGTTAGGCAGATGACCCGACTCCTTCTCATGTACAAGCATGGGATCGAGACCACGCCACTGGGTTCCATGCCAGACCTTATGATCTAAAGCGCAGACATTAGAAGACTACTCAACCACCTACCCCTCCCCCCCACCTAGTTGAGTAAGGAAGGAATTGAATAAGATCTTTTATTTCAAACCAGATTCACCATAAGTCAATTTACATAGAATAAAATTAGACATTCAGAAAACCTAAACTTGAAACATTGTGAATGAATCAATTAAGATGAAAGAATGAAAAAAATGGAGTGTCTAGGAACTTACTTCTAAATATGAGACAGTTACGAAAAATTCTTTGTTAGATTTTTGCCCAATTTGATGATACATGTTATCAAGTAACTGAAAAATAAACAATAACAATATCAATAAATAGAAGATATTTCATTTCTTGGTAAAAATTACTTATTCGTCTTTTATATTTTACAAATAAAAGTTATGTTGTTTTATCAATAAAGGATGAGAGAAAAATGGGGGTTAACGTCCACTCAACACAAAATCACGCAAATAACATATGGTTTTATATCATTTGAACAATTAGCTTGCACTAGAGGTCTTTTGCAGTGCGAGGAAACCAGAGGACCAGGAGAAAACCATCAAGACTAGGCAGATGACCCTAATCCTTGTAATGTACAGGTGTGGGATTGTTTTATCAATCGGCAATATGTTGTTTTCCTATGGTTAGTGGTAGACTTTGAAAAGGTTTATACCTGTGGAATAATTCCAGGATCTTGACTATTACCAACCATCAAGTAGCTCTTCCCGGCTCCAGTCTTAAATCAGAAACAGAATGAAAAAGTAATTCTAAAACCTTTTTTTCAACAAATAATAAAATTTACTATCAAATTTCAAACAGACACTAATATTATTCCTTACATTGCGAAATGCTTGCTTGTCCCTTCTATATCAACTTAATATATTAATGAATAATGAAGAGGATATAGAAAATTTTGGAAGTTTTGCACTTAATGCCTTAAAGAAAAGAGGAATATAAATATGGCATAGTTAAATTACACTGTAACCCAGGTATCATTTAAACTTGTGTATCTAGCACTAATTTCTTTCACATTTGTTTAATATATCTTTGTTTAAAAATTTGTAAAAATTGTTTAAAATCACCAAAAATCATCTAATTTGTACTTGTGTCCAGTTTAAAGCTGGCTGATTAATTTGATAATGAGTGTTAGAGAAATGTTATACTTACAGCACCAAAACCTAATAGAGCTACATTATATCCTTCTAATGCTCGATGTAATAAAGCATCACACTTGTCTTTATATATCACAGACTGGAATAATTCAACACAATTCATATCAGTTTTAAATGAAATAGGTATTATTACAATATAACCACTTACAGTGTCTTATCATATAATCCATGACAGATATAGGCTACTTATAAAACAATTTCTTTTCCATTTTCAAAAATCCAGAAAATTTTAATTAGACCTAGCCTTAATCAATTTAAACAAATAACGAATTGTACAGAGTTTGAACCATCACTATTTAAAGATGTACTATGTATGAATTTGATAAAGAGCTGGCAATTCTTGCCATAATAGTTAAAAAATAGATAATGAAAAATGAATATATTGAAAATTGCATTCAAATTACTTTATTCTGAGCCAAGTTATTACTATTTGAAGATGTACGTAGCGCTGATTGTTTATTATCGTAGCAACAGTACTGGACAAATGAGTCTCGGTAATCCATTTTATTTTTAAATCTTTAAATCTAGCTGGCATTCTAATCCATTTAAATCTCTGCCATCCGATAGTCTAACGAGTTGATTATAGGCTTGTCTAAATAATAGTTTATGTAACATTTGAAGCCAAAATAAAGGCATCTTTACATGTAAATAACGCATCAGATCAACCCAATTCAATACTTTAATTTAGTTGGTACTTAAGAGAAAGCTAACTTACATTATTGGTCTCAGGTCCAAACACACCATCCAGTCCATAGCTACTTTCCTGAAACAACAATTTTATTGGATTAGTTTGGAGCTAGGAATGAAATCTATGTATATTTCATAGATGCAGTGTATGTGACCATTCAAACTTCAAATGCTATGTACATGCTACATTTAAACCTTAATTAATGACAAAAAAAACCTCAATGTTAATCAATTACCTTTCCTGCTGCATCTACAACTAATTTACCTGCTGTCAATCTGACAACAGATTTACAGCCCTTGTCAATTTCATCCTGGGTTAAAGGTCGACATCGAGCAATACTTTTTATATTAACTGTTTCTGATGGCTGAAATGAGAAGATGTCATGAAATCAATAGACCATATTACCAGATTCATGTTATTACAAAACAATGTCAAAGTCGAAGTAAGAAAAAAACACTATTTTCAACATGTATATATACACCTTGAATTCCTAAATTTGTGAAATGAAATGTGATTCAAAATCCTACAATTCTGCACCCAAGGAGTAATGAAGACACAGTCCTAAATTGTTATAAAATTCAAATAAATTCAAACTGTTGGATTTCATCAAATCATATATTAAGAAGTATGTTAGAAGTTAGTATGTGGTTATGGTAAGGCTTCACTTTTATTTCAGTGGGAGGTGGGAATTGGTTTATTAATTATATGTTAAGCATATATGTTAAGCTATGTGTAGTACAGTTTGGGGTCAGTTTATGAGTAAATTAAGGCAGCTATGGGCCAGTAAACCTTTGTAGTCATTTAAATAAAAAAAACTGGCTCAAAGGAGCCACTAGTACTGGCGCAGGACAAGACGTCAAGAGTAAGTTGGATTTGGAAGACATCAGTATTAGAACCTTTCCTAACTATCAGTCAGTTTTTGTGACTTCTAGTAGCATCATTGTGTAGGTCTAACTACTACACAAATAGCTGGTAAATTAATGAATACAAATAGAAGTGAGAAAATACAAACCATTTTAAAGTTGAATTTTTATCACTAAAAAATTATACTTTTTCCTTGACGATTGTGTAAACACACAATTTCCGATGACGTCGAAGGAGAAATCATTTCAAACTTACTTGGCTGCTGACTTAGCATATAAATATGGGCCAAATATTTGTAGGTTTTTGTTTTCTATATAGTAAATAATACTATGCTTTAAATAAAAATACGATTTATAAATATATCAAGGCTGAAAACATGATTATTAAAATGTTACATTTATTAATTACAGAACAAAATAAAGAGTAACAGAGAGTACTCCAGATTAAGCACTCTTCTGTATTAGAAATAAAATTGGTGCTACAGGTACCCGAGTCCCTGTTTTCCAGACATACAAATACAATGCATTTCAATTACCCCTAAGTACCACTAGAATTTCCAGTCAACAAACTCGGTCGATGGTTGGGCTAAAATTTGGGAATAGTTTGTTTGACTGAAATAAAAAACGCACTAACTCAAATATGATTACATCGTTTTTTGTCTATTTTGATTATTTTCCCCCAAGTTCAAATCTGACAGTTGAAGTCACAATTTTATTGAGATTTTCCTTCCAATAGCAATACCCTAAACAACGTGTTGACCTCTCTTTGCGAGTAAGGTCGTCATCTAGGGTTAAGGGTCAACGACTGACGTCATCAACTGAAAACAATGGCCGTACTAATATAAACAACTTGAATTAAGTCTGTGTCCGATGCATAAAACTGATGACAGCATAGTATCTAGTCGCTTCAGTATTTGACATTTTCATGTGGCCTCGTCCAGTCGATAAAATCAATCAGTTAGTTCAGTCGAATAATCCAGTCGAATAAACCAGTCGAAAAGTTCAGTCGAATACTTCAGTCGAATAAACAAGTCGCTCAATATTAAGCAGCGGTGGCAGCGGGCTAAGATAATATAGTAGCAAATCATGCTCGTAGCCATAGCTGAAGGAGCCGGGGGCATGGGGTAGGGACCGGGGGGCTTCCCAACTAATTTCAAGAAATGAAAAGAAATGAAATGGGGGTTCAACGTCCTTTTGTTCTGCTTGGAACTGGGCTAATGAAGACGGGCATACGCCATACACTGTGCGATGAGGGAAATTTTGCCCGGACAGCGGCACTACGGCCTACTCTTATATCGAATTCCATCTGTCAAAGGGATCTTTTACGTCCACTCCAATGTATACACGGGACCTCGGTTTTTCGTCCCATCCGAAAGACTAGACAGCTGTCCTTGTCCGCCTCGAAAAGTATAGAGTCCCTATATATGATATGAACGAAGAAAGGGGATGGGGTGGGGCGGGGGTGGGGGGGATAAGGTATTTGACATTTTCATGTGGCCTCGTCCAGTCGATAAAACCAGTCAGTTAGTTCAGTCGAATAATCCAGTCGAATAAACCAGTCGAATAATTCAGTCGAATAAACCAGTCGAATAGTTCAGTCGAATAAACAAGTCGCTCAATATTAAGCAGCGGGCTAAGATAATATGGTAGCAAATCATGCTCGTAGACATAGCTGAAGGAGCCGGGGCATGGGGTAGGGACCAGGGGGCTTCCCAACTAGTTTCAAGAAATGAAAAGAAATGAAATGGGGGTTCAACGTCCTTCTGTTCTGCTTGGAACTGGGCTAATGAAGACGGGCATACGCCATACACTGTGCTATGATGGAAATTTTGCCCGGACAGCGGCACTACGGCCTACTCTTTTATCGAATTCCATCTGTCAAGGGATCTTTTACGTCCACTCCAATATATACACGGGACCTCGGTTTTTCGTCCCATCCGAACGACCAGACAGCTGTCCTTGTCCGCCTCGAAAAGAATAGAGTCCCTATATATGATATGAACGTAGAAAGGGGATGGGGTGGGGCGGGGGTGGGGGGGATGAGGTATTTGACATTTTCATGTGGCCTCGTCCAGTCGATAAAACCAGTCAGTTAGTTCAGTCGAATAATCCAGTCGAATAAACCAGTCGAATAATTCAGTCGAAAAGTTCAGTCGAATAAACCAGTCGAATAGTTCAGTCGAATAATTCAGTCGAATAAACAAGTCGCTCAATATTAAGCAGCGGGCTAAGATAATATGGTAGCAAATCATGCTCGTAGACATAGCTGAAGGAGCCGGGGCATGGGGTAGGGACCGTGGGGCTTCCCAACTAGTTTCAAGAAATGAAAAGAAATGAAATGGGGGTTCAACGTCCTTCTGTTCTGCTTGGAACTGGGCTAATGAAGACGGGCATACGCCATACACTGTGCTATGATGGAAATTTTGCCCGGACAGCGGCACTACGGCCTACTCTTTTATCGAATTCCATCTGTAAAGGGATCTTTTACGTCCACTCCAATATATACACGGGACCTCGGTTTTTCGTCCCATCCGAACGACCAGACAGCTGTACTTGTCCGCCTCGAAAAGAATAGAGTCCCTATATATGATATGAACGTAGAAAGGGGATGGGGTGGGGCGGGGGATGAGGTATTTGACATTTTCATGTGGCCTCGTCTAGTCGATAAAACCAGTCAGTTAGTTCAGTCGAATAATCCAGTCGAATAAACCAGTCGAATAATTCAGTCGAAAAGTTCAGTCGAATAAACCAGTCGAATAGTTCAGTCGAATAATCCAGTCGAATAATTCAGTCGAATAAACAAGTCGCTCAATATTAAGCAGCGGTGGCAGCGGGCTAAGATAATATAGTAGCAAATCATGCTCGTAGCCATAGCTGAAGGAGCCGGGGCATGGGGTAGGGACCGGGGGGCTTCCCAACTAGTTTCAAGAAATGAAATGGGGTTTAACGTCCTTCTGTTCTGCTTGGAACTGGGCTAATGAAGACGGACAGACGCCATAAACTGTGCGATGAGGGAAATTTTGCCCGGACAGCGGCACTACGGCCTACTCTTATATCGAATTCCATCTGTCAAAGGGATCTTTTACGTCCACTCCAATGTAGACACGGGACCTCGGTTTTTCGTCCCATCCGAAAGACTAGACAGCTGTCCTTGTCCGCCTCGAAAAGAATAGAGTCCCTATATATGATATAAACGAAGAAAGGGGATGGGGTGGGGCGGGGGTTGGGGGGGATGAGGTATTTGACATTTTCATGTGGCCTCGTCCAGTCGATAAAACCAGTCAGTTAGTTCAGTCGAATAATCTAGTCGAATAAACCAGTCGAATAATTCAGTCGAAAAGTTCAGTCGAATAAACCAGTCGAATAGTTCAGTCGAATAATTCAGTCGAATAATCCAGTCGAATAATTCAGTCGAATAAACAAGTCGCTCAATATTAAGCAGCGGTGGCAGCGGGCTAAGATAATATAGTAGCAAATCATGCTCGTAGCCATAGCTGAAGGAGCCGGGGGCATGGGGTAGTGACCGGGGGGCTTCCCAACTAGTTTCAAGAAATGAAAAGAAATGAAATGGGGTTTTAACGTCCTACTGTTCTGCTTGGAACTGGGCTAATGAAGACGGGCAGACGCCATACACTGTGCGATGAGGGAAATTTTGCCCGGACAGCGGCACTACGGCCTACTCTTATATCGAATTCCATCTGTCAAAGGGATCTTTTACGTCCACTCCAATGTAGACACGGGACCTCGGTTTTTCGTCCCATCCGAAAGACTAGACAGCTGTCCTTGTCCGCCTCGAAAAGAATAGAGTCCCTATATATGATATAAACGAAGAAACGGATGGGGTGGGGCGGGGGTGGGGGGGATGAGGTATTTGACATTTTCATGTGGCCTCGTCCAGTCGATAAAATCAGTCAGTTAGTTCAGTCGAATAAACCAGTCGAATAAACCAGTCGAATAATTCAGTCGAAAAGTTCAGTCGAATAAACCAGTCGAATAGTTCAGTCGAATAATTCAGTCGAATAAACAAGTCGCTCAATATTAAGCAGCGGTGGCAGCGGGCTAAGATAATATAGTAGCAAATCATGCTCGTAGCCATAGCTGAAGGAGCCGGGGGCATGGGGTAGGGACCGGGGGACTTCCCAACTAGTTTCAAGAAATGAAAAGAAATGAAATGGGGTTTAACGTCCTTCTGTTCTGCTTGGAACTGGGCTAATGAAGACGGGCAGACGCCATACACTGTGCGATGAGGGAAATTTTGCCCGGACAGCGGCACTACGGCCTACTCTTATATCGAATTCCATCTGTCAAAGGGATCTTTTACGTCCACTCCAATGTAGACACGGGACCTCGGTTTTTCGTCCCATCCGAAAGACTAGACAGCTGTCCTTGTCCGCCTCGAAAAGAATAGAGTCCCTATATATGATATAAACGAAGAAAGGGGATGGGGTGGGGCGGGGGTGGGGGGGATGAGGTATTTGACATTTTCATGTGGCCTCGTCCAGTCGATAAAACCAGTCAGTTAGTTCAGTCGAATAATCCAGTCGAATAAACCAGTCGAATAATTCAGTCGAAAAGTTCAGTCGAATAAACCAGTCGAATAGTTCAGTCGAATAATTCAGTCGAATAATCCAGTCGAATAATTCAGTCGAATAAACAAGTCGCTCAATATTAAGCAGCGGTGGCAGCGGGCTAAGATGATATGGTAGCAAATCATGCTCTTAGACATAGCTGAAGGAGCCGGGGCATGGGGTAGAGACCGGGGGGCTTCCCAACTAGTTTCAAGAAATGAAAAGAAATGAAATGGGGTTTAACGTCCTTCTGTTCTGCTTGGAACTGGGCTAATGAAGACGGGCAGACGCCATACACTGTGCGATGAGGGAAATTTTGCCCGGACAGCGGCACTACGGCCTACTCTTATATCGAATTCCATCTGTCAAAGGGATCTTTTACGTCCACTCCAATGTAGACACGGGACCTCGGTTTTTCGTCCCATCCGAAAGACTAGACAGCTGTCCTTGTCCGCCTCGAAAAGAATAGAGTCCCTATATATGATATAAACGAAGAAAGGGGATGGGGTGGGGCGGGGGTGGGGGGGATGAGGTATTTGACATTTTCATGTGGCCTCGTCCAGTCGATAAAACCAGTCAGTTAGTTCAGTCGAATAATCCAGTCGAATAAACCAGTCGAATAATTCAGTCGAAAAGTTCAGTCGAATAAACCAGTCGAATA